GTGAGTGTCTCACTCTGAGGTAATATAACTTCAAGCATTGTGTTAACAGTACAAAATACATAACAGAGAGCTATTTACTCGTTTATGAATGAAGCACATTTTAAGTTCTCACTGGTACTCCTCCCAAAGCACAGTTAGCGCTTGATATATTAAAACCACTGTATGGGTCTTAAATTTAGGAGGAAGACATTGTTCACATGCTTTAAAACCCTACTAGCTCACAAGAAACCCTACCTAAATAAAAAAAAAAAAAAGGATTGCAATTGACAATGCCACCTTCCAAGTGGGAAACTGCAGCTACTATTATGTAATGCATCTCAATATACCTATCACACTGGTAAGGTGATTTTTAGATGATACATGGTACATGATTCTGGCATGGTTAGCTCGTGTGTGTATATATATATATATATATATATATATATATATATATATTTATATATATATATATATCTCAATAGTTGTTACAGGTGCAAATCTCCCAGGAGCGCTATACTGCATAAATTCTGGAAATGCACATTAGTGACAACCTATTGGTCCCCCATCCAATCTGCCAATAAAACACTCACAAGACTTCTACTACAAATAGGTCCTACAGGTTTTCTCGTAGATATGCTGCCTCCATGGTTCTATGAAGCCAAAAAAAAACAAAACACACCAAACCCATTAGTGCACTATATAATTCTAGCAGCCCACATGAATATAGCAAAACATTGTAAGTCTACCCCACACCCCCAATAGAACTACACCCTGTTCCAAATTATTATGCAAATTCTATTTGTGTCACAAAGATTAAATATTTTGTTTTTCAGTTTAACTCATGGATGGCATTGTGCCTCAGGCCTCTTTTGATCACTGAAAACAATCTTGGACACCTGTGATAATTAGATTGCCAGGTGAGCCCAATTTAAAGGGACACCGTAGGCACTGTATCTGCTTCATCTCATTAAACTGGTTATAGTGTCTGGATTCCCCTGTTGAATCATTTCTTTCAGCATTAAACAGTTTTTAATGTTGTAATGTTTTAATGCTGAACAAGAAACCCCGGCAGTTCATCCCCTCTGTGCTTCTTTGGCTAATAAGGAAGTATTACCCTGAGCAGCAATGGGCAGCTGTGATTGGCTGAGAGTGTCAGCTGACTGCTTTTAACCTGTCAGAGCTCCAACTGACGGTATGAATGGGTATGACAACAAGGAAGTGTGTAATCTCTGCCTTAGCTACACATACTGTATGTCGGATGGGTATGTGGGTGGCCAGGGATCTCTGCCTGTAGGCATACTACAGAAGGGGCCGGACTGTGGGTGGCCAGGGACTCTTATTTTGTGGCATACTGCACAAACATGGTGCAACACTGAATGGAGGGACAGTGCCAGGGCACTCCAGGTGCTATAACCAATTCAAAGAGATGAAATGGTTATAGTGACTACAGTGTCCCTTTAAGGAAAAACTACTAAAGGAGGGTGTTCCACATTATTAAGCAGAGCACCATTTTCATGCAATATGGGGAAGAAAAAGGATCTCTGCTGCTGAAAAGAGTGAAATAGTTCAATGCCTTGGACGAGGTATGAAAACATTAGATATTTCACGAAAACTTAAGCGTGATCATCGCACTATTAAGATATTTGTGGCTGATTCAGAGCACAGACGGGTTTGTGCAGATAAAGGCACTTTGAGGAAGATTTCCGCCAGATCCATGCATCGTATCAAGAGAGCAGCTGCTAAAATACCATTACATAGCAGCAAACAGATATTTGAAGCTGCTGGTGCCTCTGGAGTCCCACTGACATCAAGGTGTAGAGTCCTCCAGAGTCTTGCAACTGTGCATAAACCTTCTATTCGGCCACCACTAACCAATGCTCACAAGCAGAAACGGCTGCATTGGGCAGAAACATACATGAAGACTAATTTTCAAACAGTCCTGTTCACTGATGAGGGCCGTGCAACCCTGGATGGTCCAGATGGATGGAGTAGTGGATGGTTGGTGGACGGCGTGTAAAGATGACCTCTGCAAAGTATGTGGAGTTTCTGACTGACCACTTTCTTCCCTGGTACAGAAGGAAGAACTATGCTTTCCGTAATAAGATCATCTTCATGCATGACAAATCACAATCTCATGCTTCAAAGAATACCTCTGCATCAATGGCTGCTATGGGGATAAAAGGAGAGAAAGTCATGGTGTGGCCTCCATCCTCCCCTGACATCAATCCTATTGAGAACCTTTGGAGCGTCCTCAAGCAAAAGATCTATGAGGGTGGGAGGCAGTTTACATCCAAACAGCAGCTCTGGGAGGCTATTCTGAAATCTTGCAAACAAATTCAAGCAGAAACTGTCCAAAAACTCCCAAGTTCAATGGATGCAAGACTTGTGAAGTTGCTATCAAATAAGGGGTCCTATGTTAAAATGTAACGTGACCTGTTAAAATGTTTAAAAAGTTAAAATGTTGTTAGAAGTTTGATTGAAATAGCTTTTGATTTCAGTAAATATGCTGCAAACATAACAAATGACAATTTTCAGTTCTTTACAACCTATAAAGTGTTTTGAAACTTACTGTGCGTAATAATTTGGAACAGTGCATTGTAAGTTTTTTATGTTTAAAAAAAAATACTGTTATCATTAGGAGGTTTGTTCAATAAAATTTGAATTGTACTCTTAATAGTTGATAACATGAGAATTATGCTGACTGTTATTTACATCAATTATTTAGGTAAATGAGAAAAATATAATTTGCATAATAATTTGGAACAGGGTGTATTATGATCAACTATTCAAGCCACAAGGAATCATGAAGAGATTGCATGTAAAATACAGAAAACCCAAACCAAATTTAAGCACATTTGGCAATCATGGGACAGGCTCTACAAGTTACACCAATCACCAGGTCCAACGCCTTGCGAGGGGCAATGTTAAGTTTTAATAGAACCTCTACCACCCTCGTTTCCCATTTTTAATTATGTTGAATACAGTGTTTGAATTATTCAGGATGTATGCAGCAACTGGGCATGTAATACATTTTCAACTAAAACTATTTCCCGAAAACGTAGCTATATCCACTTCCAATGGCAGGGTTTAGTGGAAATCACTTAGACCAAGCATGTCAAATTTGCGGGCCGCATGCAGCCCACAAGTGACATCTTTGCGAGCCGCGAGTACATGCTCGGTGTTATAGCAGAGTAGGCAACTGCTTTCCCCACATTGCAGGTGCCTACTCTGCTAAAACTTAGCCGGCTCAGTGTTTCTGCTCCCTCGCGCGCCGTCTGTAGTAAAGCTGGGCACCGGAAAATGAGGTCATATTGCGGTACCTGTAAACCACGCGAAGAAGCAGTGAGGAGCAGGGAGATGCCCCACATCAGCTAAAAAAGGTAGGGCAGTAAAGTATGTGTGTGTCAGTGTTGCATTGGCTGCGACTGGACAGTGGAGTACCTGGAGGTGCATGGAGCACACAACACCACGTCACATTCCGACATCAATGTGCTCCACCTTTACAGGGTTTCAAGAAGTAGCGGGAGGATCAGATTTGGCACAGGGTGTGGACGGCGCCATTTGGGGTATACCGGAGTCTCATACTGGCAGCGGCAATGTGAGTGGAATCTGCTTGTTGGCTAGAGGGAGGTGCTGGGATTTAGTAGAGGGGAATGCGTTTTTTTTTTTTTTTAAATACTGTAATTTTCAGAATAAACCTACGTTTCTATGAAAATTTTAGTTTTTTATCGTGGCCCACATAAACTTAAACCTTGTTTATGTGGCCCATGCTAGACTTTGACATGCTTGTCTTAGATGGTTAATCTTGCTATTTGTTACAACCATTACACCTGTAAAACAGAAGAGACAAAAGTGGTAAACCGCGCCCAAACAGTGCAAATAATAATTAAAATATATACATACAGAGAGTCCTCTAATTAGGAATGTATAAAACCTTCAAGATAAAAAAGTACAGAACAATAATAGTGCAATATGTCAAGTGAAATAAGAGTATATAAAAGCTTATAAAAGACTCACTCACACTTTGCAGAGCTACTCAGAGCTCTGCCGTATAGTGCCTAGACGGTATAATCCCCGTCTCAGGATATCAAGTGATGGTATAATGCGGTATCCAATCCTCCACAGTGGTATATGGAAAGATAAAAATTATTAAATTATTTCTATTTTTATCTTTCCATATACCACTGTGGAGGATTGGATACCGCATTATACCATCACTTGATATCCTGAGACGGGGATTATACCGTCTAGGCGCTATACGGCAGAGCTCTGAGTAGCTCTGCAAAGTGTGAGTGAGTCTTTTATAAGCTTTTATATACTCTTATTTCACTTGACATATTGCACTATTATTGTTCTGTACTTTTTTGTCTTGAAGGTTTTATACATTCCTAATTAGAGGACTCTCTGTATGTATATATTTTAATTATTATTTGCACTGTTTGGGCGCGGTTTACCACTTTTGTCTCTTCTGTTTTACTACTGTGAGCAGGTATTGGGAATTCCTGCTTGGTTCACTGCTGCCCACCTTTAGTTTATTTAGTGAGCACCTAACTCCTCTTTGTTGTGAACATTACACCTGTAAGTCTTGTTTATTTCGTATATCCCTGATTATTTGTTGTACTAATTATGTCTCAAAAACAATAAAATTTAATTTTAAATAAAAATAAAAATAGGATTTATGTGTTCCTTTCTGCAGCATTTTGGGGGTTTGCAGTCCATGCTGGGGCTTTCCAATTTTTAAAATAACACATGAAATAAACATCTTGTGATAATACATTTTTTTTTATGATGACAAGCTTTCAGGAGTTTGAAAAGTCCTGAACTTTCATACTGACTTTGTTTTGAATCCCAGATTTGACAAGGGTTCATATGACTACACAAATTAGGCTCCATTCACAGCTATGCACCTCCTAGTCGGAAGAGCTGCAGATCTCTACTAGAACTGCCCTTACACACCATGCAGTCTCTTCCCCTACCAAGATGGCGGAGATTGGGTGTCACGCGGTGACGTGTTTTGTCGTGGACGCATGGTCCACTTTCAGGAAGAGAGGGGCCAGAAGTCGCGCTGTGTTTTTTTTAATTTAAATTATTTATTCGCCGCCGCCGTCATGGCAGCGGCCTCGGTGATGTGGCGGTGGTTTAGGCAGCAGATGGCAGCAATGCGAGAGATCTGCCGGCATTATCCGCTGTTTTGTTTCATCTTGCTTTCCCTTACTCTGTCCACCATCCTGCTGTACAGGTACATTATAGAGGCTGCTGTGCTGATAGGTGTCTGCAATGATAGAAGTGATGGTTTGTTGTGGAATACCATTCCCATGGTGGCTAGCCTGCTGAAAGGTTTCCTGAGCATCATAGGAATTGTAGTCCATGAGCCAAAGTCTGTAATCAGTTTGAGTAAGCCTCTATGTCCGGATGCCCCGACATGTGTTGATAGACCAGCTATTAGCGTAAACTCAGTATCACAGACAATCTCTACGTGAGACTTTAATGCATACATTTGTGGACTCTGTTATTGTGCAGGTCTAATGCAAGGATGGGCATAATGTAGACTATAAGGCCGGCGGCAGTGTATCATGTCAGTTGGAATTCTTTTACAGTTGGGATCTAACAGTGTCTTACATTCTGCAATGGAATGTTTTGTTGTCTTATTATACCCAGCATGTATCTGAGATCCAGTTGAGAAATGATTCACAAGCCAATTAGTCTTTTGTAAACTTGTTATATCTGGTACAACATGCATCACATGTAGCAAGTGAACAAACCACCATTATCATCTTCTTTCTTCCTTCCCTCCCTTTCTTTAAATTATTTTTCTATTGTAATAAACTTTGTACAAACATATTTGATTTGGTATTTTGAAACGTCTGTCCAACATATAGCCTGTTATGAATAAAGATCCATTTTGCAAACTTCAAGTACAGAGAATATTTCTCCAGGGCTGCACATCTTCTGTGGAACTCCCTTCTCCGTAAAACTTTCACCCAGTCTCCACTCATTCAAAAAATAATTGAAAACTCACTTCAAGAAAGCATATCAATTAAACTTTTAGCAGGTTTTTATCCTCCATCCCCCATGACTCCTCTCCTGCAACTGCCAAAAATTACCTACTAAGCCCTAAATTTAATACTTTTCTAACAACCTACTTCATACCCCCAGTTTTACGCTTTGTGTCACAATACATTCATATTGTAGAATTTAGCAGCTGTCTGCTGTTCAAAGTCCAAGTGGATGACTCCTGTGCTTATGCTGGGTGCACATGACAAGCCTCACTAGGCTAACCCAGCCAGCCAGCTAGCCTGTTTATAGATGGCTGCTGCTACATAATGAACTGTAAGCTGACATGGAACAAGCAAAAAATAATAAAACATCTGGGGGACACCTCTCTGAAAGTGACACTGCTGCACCTGGGTTAACGTGTCTCAAGTACATTTTCCCTATAAGCTGATTTGCTATGCTTCTTTTGTATTTTGTGTGCACAGTTTAGAAAATCCTTCTAGTATGCAATATACAAGTGTTTTGAAGTTGTGCTCACAGTATATTTCTGTCATGGGTTAAATTTTTAGTAAATCGTGCAGGAAAAAACTAAACGTAATTGGCACCTCTGGGCTTTGTAATATCCTAATCTGAAATGCGATTTGAAGTGAATTCTAACAGTGACTTGATTGATGACCTGATTTGCTCTTGGTCCTATTTTCTATTACAGTATTTTTTCACTGCTAAGGTAATTTGCTTACACTTTTTTTTTTCCAGATACCTCCATATTTTTATGATCTTCTGGTCATTTGTGGCTGGTGTTGTTACATTCTATTGCCTTTTGGAGCGGGATACATTACTCCCAAATATTCTATTTCACATAAACTACAAGCCCAAGGTAAATTATGGATTTTATATAATAACAAAATCGTAAGGACGATAAGCTTGAATTACTGCTTATATGCTAAAGTGCAAAATCTCATAAGGCATTACCCTAGATGCCCTCAAAACTATATATGTGTATTATATACATATACACACACACAAAAAAATAAGGATGCACACTAGATAGGCTAAAAAGTGCAGATTACTTATAAATCCTTTTATTTAATAAACCACAAAAAGTATACATAAATGCAAAATCAAACAAACAATAGACAAAGCTACAAAAAAAATATATACATTTATTTAATAAACCACAAAAAACTCCCAGTGGTTCAACAGCACTCTGGCTTTTCATCCTTGAGAAAGGCAGCCGGAGTGTTACTGAAACTTTGGTGGCATTGGTGATTCGTGTTCTGTCCCATTAGGCTTGTTTATTGGTGGTAATTATGTTTTTATATATGTTTGTATATGTGCCTTGATATTTTTTTTTTGTCTCTTTTTCTATTGTTTTTAAATAAATTATTTAAACTTAATCTGCACTTGTTAGCCTATATAGGGTGCATCCTTAAAATTATGGATTATGATTTATAAAGCACCAACAAATTCCACAGCACTGTACAATGGGTGGACTAACAGACACGTATTTGTAACCAGACACGTTGGACACACAGAGAAAGAGGGTTTGATGGCCTTGCTCAATGAGCTTTCATGCTAGGGAGAGTCGGGTTTAGTGACACAAAAGGTAAGGGTAGGGTAGAAAAGTAGGTTGCTACGATAGTATTTACTGAGGGGTTAGTGTTTTGTTTTGATGACAGTTGCAGGAGGGGAATCAGGGTGCAAGGAAGAAAAGTTGTTCACAGTTGAACTGATATGCTTTCCTAAAGAAGTAAGTGGAGACTGGGTGTAAGCCTAACAGAGAGGGGAAGGGTGTTCCATAGGACTGGTGCAACCCTAGAGAAGTCTTTAAGGCGAGCATTAGAGGTAGGAGTACGAACAGAGGTCTACGACAGAGCGTAGGGGACTAGACTGGACATATTTGTGTATTAGTGAGTATAGGTAGGTCGGAGCAGCATTGTGTAGAGATTTGTGAGTAAATACAATGTAGGCACTGACAGACGGGGGAGGCATGGGAGATGCGGGCGGACAGGAAGATGAGCCTCGCCGCATTCATAATAGGCTGTAACGGGCAACTTGGGAACACATAAGAACACAGAGAAGTGGATTACAGTAGGCGAGAGAAGACAGCGGCATGGACAAGCACCTTAGCTATATTAGCGTTAAATAGTGGCAGGTGCGCTATTTTTTTTTAAGATTATATACGTTATGTATGATCTGGAATATTGGTAACGTAAAAGGAGAAAATCATAGGAATCAACAGTACAGCATTAAATACATGAAATAGACTACTAACTTTCAATAGATTTTTTAAATTAAGCCGAGTGCCAGTTGTGAGGCACTGACATAGTTAAAGGGAACCTATGATTCCAAAAATAACACTTCTTATTTCAGGACTATAAATTCCCTTCTGTTCACCACTTTGCTTTATAAAAATAAACTTAAAAACCCTCACCTTGTTTCCAGTGCAAGGAGTCCTCCGCTGCAGCCTTTATCTCCTGCCACCGGTGATGTTGGGAAGCATACTGTTGGATTGGAGAGTGCATGCGCAACAAAATGCCATGCTCCTCTAATCAAATGCTGCTATCAGACTTTTACTCGGTTTGGAGTACGAAGTAGGAAGCGCCTGTAGTGGTTGTCAGGAACACAGCCACTAGTTTTAACATTGCAATGTTTTGGGGTTTTTTTCCCATAAAAAAATAAAATAAAAGCTGCAGTGTTTTACATTGCAGGGTTAAAATGATAGGACCACTGCACCTAGGCCACTTCATTGAGATGAAGTGGCCTCGGTTATGATAGTGTTCTTGCAAGGCAATTCAAGGCTCAACATTGATGCCAATGGGTCTGCCAGATTATATATAGAACAGCATGGTGTAAGATTATAAGCCTTGTATATTGTATCTGACATGTAGTAAATGTTGTACAATTCATGTAAATCTTATGTAGTGTAGCCAGGCACACATTGGTAAGCACTCATCTAAATCTTCTTAGCTGTGTCATGGTTTAATGTAGATCACTGACTAATGCCAATGAAAAGTAGGCAGCAGATTTCTTTATTTTTGTTTATATTTATGTCTGCTTAAGTAAAATCTAAAATTGGAGAAGCAATGTTCTTTTTACCATAATATATATATATATATAAACATTGAAGCTGCTGTGATATTACCCGGTTAGCATATCCATCATTGTGGTAAACAATGAAATATTTCTCAAACTTTTCTATTGACCTTTGTTTATTATTCCAATTTCACTATTGGATCCAGCAGTGTTTCAACAATAATGGTATTTATCTGAGCTTTCCCTTCTTCCTGTATCAGTAAACCTTGTTGGCTTCTCTTTAGTGCTTAAGGCATGTGACCCTATTTGCAGCATCTCTGTGCAATGTACAGGGACTGAACAGAGCACCTCTAGATAATCGGTTTCTCAAGCCAGGGAGGTGTACGGAAGTGCTGGTGCAGTTTTATGTAAAAAACATTTTGAGGAAAAAAATCCAGCTTTGCTCTATACCCAAAATGAATTATCTTTATAATGTAATTAGTAATTTTTACAATGACTAAGTAAGTAATCGTTACAATGACTAATGTATAAACCTTAATATTTTTCATTTTTTGTTCAATATATGCTAAACATTCTAAATGATTATAATTTTTTCTACAGAAGCTGGAATTGCAAGAACTTTTCCCACAAGGTCATAGCTGTGCAGTGTGTGGCAAGGTTAAGTGCAAAAGGCATAGGTATATTAAACTGAGTATATTCTATATGCAGATTTAAAAAATAAATAAAATGTTCATTTTGCATTAGATAAATGTGGAAATGTTCCTTCCATTTCAGACCTACTCTTCAGCTGGAAAATTATCAGCCATGGCTAGATCTGAAAGTGCCTTCAAAAGTGGATGCGTCTCTCTCAGAGGTATCTCCTGTGTGTGTGCGTGTGTGTTCTCTTTTTTTAAAATTTTTTTTTTTATTTTCTTATTCTTCATACTCTCACTGTGTGGGAGGGCTACCAAGATGTGCAGTTTCAGTATTGCTATAAGGGTTAGCCGTAGATAAGTGAGACCATTTAAACTGTCAATTGGTGCACTGCTTTGTGGGTCCTCTGCCACACAAGGATGAAACCTTCCAACCAGGAGTTTCACATTCTGGTCTAAGAGTACAAATTGTATACTGTAATCTCCTGTATGTCAGGAATTAGGTTATCCCCAAAGACCAGTTCAGATTATCACACAGGATGATTTGAACAGCTCTTTAAACTGATAGCAGACATGCCCTGCTGCTTTCAGCTTATACACAGTCTAGTTCACCTTTAGTGTTTTAGTATGAGCTAAAGTTGAAGACTGCACTCTGAGAAGTCAATTAATAACTTTTTTATTGTGAGTTCTTCATACACGCAATAGGGATAAAACGTACCCTGGCAACCTAGATCTAAGTATCCAGGCAGCTCTAACCCACTCTTAAAAATGAGTGAGAGATGCTCACCTTGGCTGTCGAGTTGTGAGTATACGCAATATAATTTTTTTTGTTTTTTTTAAAGTTGCAGTTTGAGATAAAATCAAATGGTGCAGGGAAGTAATAGCAAAACTAGCAAGGTCAGTTTTTCAAGGGAAAACCGCAATACCCTAATCTAGATGTAGGCAGCCCTTTAGTAGCACTGCATTAAAACAAAACCTTGAAGTCCTTTGTGCAGGTTCTATTTTTTAAAATTGAGGTGTGTATTTTATCATATTCTGCTTGTATTGTTTATGGGTGCTGCAGTAGTATTTGTGCGCATGTGAGTTGTCATATTGTTTATGTTCATAAGTAGTGATGTCGCGAACGGTTCTCCGCGAACCGTTCGCGGCTAACTCTGGTCAGCTGACACATCCCTGCCAATCTCTGGCAGACCCCCCCTCCCAGGCCCTCCTACTTCCTGGACAGCATCCATGTTGAAGGCAGCTTCAACATGGATGCTGTCCAGGAGGTGTGAAGGTCTGGGAGGGAGGGTCTGCCGGAGATTGGCAGGGATGTGTCAGCTGACCAGAGTTCGCCACGAACCGTTCGCGGACGGTTCGCGACATCACTATTCATAAGTAATTTGTGGTATTGTATATTGTACCTAGCAATGTGGCCTGTGTATGGGAGCTGCTTGTGGAATTATGTGTGTTTTGGTGTGTATGTGTGAGGCTGCTTGTGGGGTTGTGTATGTGTGGGGATTGTCAGTGGTTAATTTATGGTGTTAAAAATGTGCAGGTTGTTCTGCAACAGTTACGTAAATCTTCCCCACAGTGATTGCATATTCTCAAGTTTGATGTTTGTTCTGTTCTATGCAGGTATTTGAACTAGTGCTGGAAAACTTTGTTTATCCTTGGTATCGGTAAGTAACAGTGTTGTAAAGTAAAGATATGGTAGGCTATTGTATGAACTTTGAAGTATTATGAAAATAAAAATAAGTAATTTAAAAATTAACCCCATCCTGACATTAGGGCATGTTATGCTGTCCTACCAAAGGAGGGCTTTATTTTTTTAATTTATTTTATACTCTATTTAGAAAATTCTTTTACACATTTAACATATAAAAACACCTATACCAATATACATAGTGAGGCAAATAATCAGTCCATATAAAGCTGAGTCTCATTCTTATCCCCGTTTATAAGAACAGGGAAAGAAGGAGATTTTTGACCTATACAAGTTCTCTTATTTCAGACCAAACTACATTTGATACCTCATCTCCACGAGCAAATAGAGCAAACCAGAGGAGGGCTTTAACGCCGTTAGGGTGGCATATCTAAAAAATAGAGAAAAGATACTTTGTACATAGGACCATTACGCATCAGTCCCCTTCAAAGTAGGCAGTAGGTTTCTTTCCAAGCCAGTTTTGTGAATGGGGAGTAATCAATATCAGATGACCGCTTTCAGCCAATCAGCGGCAATCCACGCTTCCAGTAAGTTAAATTTCAGAAGCCAGATGCCGTTTGGGGAGATACGGAGATCGGCACTGGAGGCAGCTTTGGATTTAAACCGTTTTAAACCCTTGAGGTACGAGTGTGCCGGGGGCTTCCTTGCACCATAACCATTTAATTTACATGAAGTTGTTATGGTGCCTAGAGTGTTCCTTTAATGGGTTAGCTTTATAGTGAAATTGAACATATATAGCTTGGAGATGCAATTATTTAATGGTGTCCATTTAATCCACATATATTTACACATGTTATTTACTGAAATAGTCTGCTATTATAAATAACACCTAAACAAAAAAAACTTTTTTCTGACTAGTTTATTCAGTGCCTTTTTTTTTTTTTTTTGATTGTACTTTACATTTGGCAAACATGGGTTGTTGCTAATAACTTATAAATATGTATTTGCTTATATTATATTTTACCAGAAATATACTTTGAGTGTTATTATTATTATTATTATTGCCATTTATATAGCGCCAACAGATTCCGTAGCGCTTTACAATATTATGCAAGGGGATTTAACTATAAATAGGACAATTACAAATAAACTTACAGGAACAATAGGTTGAAGAGGACCCTGCTCAATCAAGCTTACATTCTATAGGAGGTGGGGAGTAAAACATATTAGGACAGGAATGTGCAATCAAATAAGGTGGGCTGCCCATTAGGAGAGAGCAAGAGACGGGTATGTGAGGTAGGGGTTAGTCTTGGAGGCCATAAGCTTTCCTAAAGAGATGGGTTTTAAGGCACTTCTTAAAAGATGCAAGACTAGGGGATAGTCGGATGGCGGTAGGCAGGCTATTCCATAGGAAGGGAGCCGCCCGCGAGAAGTCCTGTATGCGCGAGTTGGCCGTACGGGTGCGGACAACGGACAGGAGGTGGTCACGGGCAGAGCGGAGAGACCGAGAAGGGACATACCTGTGGATCAGTGAGGAGATATAAGAGGGGCTAGAGTTGTTCAGTGCTTTATAGGTGTGAGTCAGTGCCTTGAATTGACTCCTATAGCACACAGGAAGCCAATGTAAGGACTGGCAGAGGGGTGAGGTGTGAGAGAACCGACTAGAGAGGAAAATCAGTTGTTATGGTTCTTCAGTATGACCGTATAACCATCTTTGTAGGTGTACTAAGTGCTAGTGAAAACTCAAGTGGACTTCTCTGAAGTTCATTCTTTAGAATTAAATTTTCTCCCAAAGTTTCTCCTACACATATTTTGTAAACCAGATAAGAATTGTGGTTTTAACCGTGTTGGTTTTGTTTGCACAGGGAAGTAACAGAAGATGAGTCTTTTGTAGATGAAATAAGGCTGGCTTTACGATTCTTTGCATCTGTTCTAGTAAGAAGAATTCAAAAGGTAAGCATTTTGTTTCAAAATACTACTCATTGTTTCCTGAGCTTAAATGTTCATCAGTTCCTCACAGTTAAAGTGATGTAACATTTTTTCACTGAATAAGCAATTGTGGTGAACTAAAAACGGACCTTTAAAGATTTAGTCCAAAATAGCCAAGTTAGAAAAGTGGCTGAATTGGAGATTTTTTGTTTTTAGCATTTTGTTTTTTAATTCAACACAATTCACTATTTAGTGAATAAATCTGAGTATAGACAATATGTTAATGTGCACTTTTTGTTTACATTGACACTGTTTTTATTTTAATTTTTAACTTTTCATCATTTTCAATTTTATTAATGTCCATATCACTCTGCTTCTCTTTATAATTGTCTGTGTGTAAACAAACCATATCTTCATACAAGCAAGTCTTAAAGGGACACTATAGTCACCCAGAACACTTCATCTCATTGAAGTGGTCTGCGTGAAGTGTCCCTGTGCCACTTAGTCCTGCAATGTAAATCAACGTCAATCAGACAGCCACTAGAGGCACTTTTTGTCCCGTAGCATTCTGCATGAGGACATCCAGCATCAGTTAAATCCCCATAGGAAAGCATTGATGCAATGATTCCCTATAGGGAGGCATTGCATTAATGCACTTAGCCCCCTTATCCCTGTCGGATGATGTCTGAGGAGGCAGAGGGTGACCCATTGACAAGGGACATCAGTGCTGGAATCAGACAAGTAACTAAAAAAATTTTTTTTAAACCTATCTGCTGGGGGCGGGGATAAGCAAGGGAGTGGGGAAGCAGAGGACTCTATAGTGTTTGGAATACAGATTTGTATCTCTTGGAAACTGACTTCCTTCTCCTATAAGTGAGCACTTGTGCTCAAGGGATCATAGGTATGCACACTTTGTGCGACAGGGCCAGATTTGCCTTCCTGTCCTCTGTTGTGCTTCTTTTTTTCCAGTTTTGGTTCATTCCAGGAGCAATGGATCTTTGCAAATACCTGATTATCACTAGAGCAAGAATTTAGAATATTATACATATTTTTTTTTTCTATTTTCTTTTCAAAAAACCTACAAATCACATGTATACCACTATAAATCATTATTAATTTCATTTTCCATAAATCACGCTAGAGAATGAAAGAAAACTTGTCACTTGAGAACATTCAGGCATGTATTTGACTCACACATGGAAGACAAGCATCGACTAGCGGGAGAATTAAACAAAAAGAAATTGGATTATAACAGGGAGAAGAGGGGACAGGGGAAACGGGTGGGATTAGAAAAATGTATACCAAATTTCCCTTCTCACACTTTTTTTTTTTTTTTTCTCATTACCTCTTGGCCCCATCCCCAACTTTCCTCCCACCTCCATCAGTTATTTCAAATAAATGCTATCAAGATTTGATCTCTATATTTGAACCAAGGCAACCATAGAGTAAATAATTTATCGTGATTACTGTGATTATTCAAAAAATACCCCTTTGCCATGGAGGCTTGATATGCTATAAAAAAAATACGTTTTTGAAATTAAAATATTCTGCATTTTACAAATTTTTTACTATTTGCAACTTAAACACTAGTAACAAATAAATAACCATATATCTACTGCTAGATGGAATTTTCATTATGCCAGCATGGGAAATGGCTAGAGCTAAATCAGGATGGATTAATTTGCCAGAGATTATTGTTATCAACATAAATGGCCTATTCCAAATCTGTGCGACCTTCTTGCAAATCCACCAAATATGTGAGAATGTTCCCATTCTTCAAGACATCGCCAACATTTATTTTTTAATATAATCAAATGTTATTTTACTAAGTTTGTTCTTCCATTTTCCTGTAAAGCATTCTTAAATTTTCTTATCTTGGATAAGAGTTGGATTTTTTTGTAGACAGAATTTTTTTTATTTTTTTTATTTTTTTTATTCTTAAATGATTATATAGTTCAGTCATTGGTAAACCAAAGAGATTTTATTTCTTTGTCTTTTGATAATCTTATTTACAAATAAGATATATATTAAAGCAGTGTTTTTCAACCTTTTCTGGGCAAAGGCACACTTGTTTCATGAAAAAAATCACGAGGCACACCACCATTAGAAAATGTTAAAAAATTTAACTCTGTGCCTATATTGACTATATATATATATATATATATATATATATATATATATATATATATATATATATATATATATATATATATATATATATATATATATATATATGTATGTGTGTGTAATTCTCTTGAATAGGAATCAAATAAACACCCATCTCCCTCCCTCCTTTCCCTGTCCCTCCCATCTCCCTCCCTCCTTTCCCTGTCTCTCCCATCTCCCTCCCTCCTTCCTTTCCCTGTCTCTCCCATCTCCCTCCCTCCTTCCTTTCCCTGTCTCTCCCATCTCCCTCCCTCCTTTCTTTCCCTGTCTCTCCCATCTCTCTCCCTCCCCCCTTTCCCTGTCTCTCCCATCTCTCTCCCTCCCCCCTTTCCCTGTGTCTCTCCCCTCTCACCATCTCTCCCTCCCCCCTTTCCCTGTGTCTCTCCCCATCTCTCCCTCCCCCCTTTCCTTGTGTCTCTCCCCTCCCATCTCTCCCCTCCCCATCTCTCCCTCCCCTTTCCTGTCTCTCCCCCCTCACCATCTCTCCCTTTCCTGTGTCTCTCCCATATCACCATCTCTCCCTCCCCCTTCCTGTGTCCTCCCCTCTCCCCTCCACATCTCTCCTCCTTTCCCTCTGTCTCTCCCTCTCCCCTCCCTCCTTTCCCTGTGTCTCTCCCTCCCCTCCCCTTTCCCTGTGTCTCCTCCCTCCTCCCCTTCCTGTGTCTCTCCCTCACTCCCCCCCTTTCCTGTGTCTCTCCTCCTCCCCCACCCTGTGTCTCTCCCTCCTCCCCCCTTTCCCTGTGTCTCTCCCTCCTCCCCAACTTTCCTGTGTCTCTCCCTCTCTCTCCCCTTTCCTGTGTCTCTCCTCCCACTCCCCTTTCCTGTGTCTCTCCCTCCCCTCCCAGCACCCTGTGTCTCTCCCTCCCTCCCCTTTCCTGTGTCTCTCCCTCCCTCCCCCTTTCCACTGTGTCTCTCCCTCCCCCTTTTCCCGTGTCTCTCCTTTTCCCTCCTCCCCATCTCTCCTCCCCTTTCCTGTTGTCTCTCTCTCCTCTTCCTCCCCCCCCTCCTTCCTGTGTCTCCCCTCTCCCTCCTTTCCTGTGTCTCTCCCTCTCCCTCCTCCCCTTTCCTGTGTCTCTCCTCCTCCCCTTTCCTGTGTCTCTCCTCTCTCCCTCCCAACTTTCCCGGTGTCTCTCTCCCTCCCTTTTCCCGTGTCTCTCCTCTCTCCCTCCCAACACGTGTCTCTCCCCTCCTCCCCTTTCCGGTGTCTCTCTCCTCTCCCTCCCCCTTTGTATTACTCTCCCCCTCTCCTCCCAGCACTTTTCCTGTCTCCCCTTCCCTATCTGCCCCCAATTTACCTTAGAGAAGTCAGGGGGCCGGCCGCATTCCAGACTGGAGCCACCAGGCCGGGTGGCAGCTTCGCCGGTCCGGCAGCACTCCAGTCACTGATGGCTGATGGAGGAGGAGCCTGTCTACCATGCACCCTCGCGGTGGAACCGCGAGGGAGCATGGTAGACAGGCTCCTCCTCCATCATCAGACAGTGACTGGAGTGCCGCCGGACCGGCGAAGCTGCCACCCGGCCCGGCAGCTCCAGTCTGGAACGCGGCCGGCCCCCTCTCAGTGTGCCAGGGACCGGCCACCCAGTGGCACATATGTGCCCTCGCAGCCACCAGGTGCCGCGGCCCACTGGGAAATTTCCCGGTATCCCGGTGGGCCAGTCCGGCCCTGATCACAGCCCGGACATCAGAACATCAGACATCCCACGGCACACCAGGCAACACTGTATTAAAGCACTCTCAGCCAGGAAATCCCTGGCAAAGAACTGCCAAAAAGGGTTATAGGGATATAGCAGGGCCTAACCGTAATTGATAAACAATACAGAAAATGAGGAAATGAGGAAAAAAGCTCCTCCAAGAACAGGGAAAGCTAGTTCCATCAAGACCAATATCCCTTAATTAGAGCAGTGTAGATATAAAGCTGCAATAAAGTATAAAGCACGCAAAAAATAATAAACTTTTATTAGGATAGAAAAATATATAAAAGCTTGTAAAAACCTATCTCTATACACAGTACTGGATTGCTAGACTCCAATTAGTGAGGATAGATTAGAGCCAGTCATACACAATGCAACATAGTAACAATATGGTGTCCAAAAAATGACAAAGTATATTCTATTGAAGGAATGTTGCAAAGACAAAGGTAATGCTAGGTCTAAGCAAAAAAAGATATATACAGATATCCCTATGAATAGCAATCACAGAGTAGAATCAGCTATATTCCAACATCCCCAAGTATAAAATAAAATGGATTGTATAATATCTAAATGGGGGGGCAAAAATCTCTCTAGATCTAAAAATACTAATCCCTCTAAATCCAATCGAAATACTGAGATAGCTAGAATCTCATAGATATACTAAACCAGAGCTCTGGAAGATGGGTAAATCGAAAGGACAGTAAGAGAAAAAAAATGATGAAATGAAAGTGGGAAATAGTAGAAAAACTATTGCTATAAAGAGTATACAGGTGCATGAAGCTATAGAATAAATAAAGGATTCAGCCGGCAAAAGAATCCCCTAATGAAGCGCAGCATGCACCAAAGCTAGCTGAAAATCAAAGGGTGTATATAGAAGCCCAAAGGCCGACGCGCGTTTCGGCGAAAAAACGCCTTTCTCAAGGGCACGAGCAGACAGAGAGTGTCTGACTCCACATTCCTTTTAAAAGGTCTGGCGCCCAATCATGTAGCCAATGGGGTGTAGTCTGTGGCTGCCCACCAATAGAAATCAGAGGTGGGAGGTCGTAAGAACGTAGCCGCCCACCAATGGAAATTCAAGGTGGGAGGTCCTAAGGAAAGTAATTGACCGAACCCACGTGACTTTGAGTGATGTCTGCCGCACACATTGGCGGTTGATGTGCCTTACCGCCTAATCAGAGTACCCAGTGGGAGGTCTAAAAGGAACCAAGCTGGGCGGACTCATAGGAAGACGAACACCAGTGAAATATCATGATGGGAGGTCCCAAGGAAAAAACGAGTGCTCGGCAGGATCCGAGCAAATTAAGCTGATGTAACAGGATATGTCCAAAGTATTTGACAGATGGCCGCATAAACACTCAGCACTGTATCACATTAAGTGCTGTGGTATAGATATATGCATATAATGTGCAGACATCGTCTTACTGCAAACACATCCCTGTCAGCCTCGTCATCCTTCTGATTCACTCAGTAAAAAAAGGGAAAAGACTTATAGTATATATATAATATATAAATGAGCAGAGTCACAAAGGCTGGTATAGCAGGATGTATCAAACATAATGACAGATGGCCGCATAAACCCTCAGTGGAATATCATATTAGGTATTAAGGGTTTAAATATATACCTATAGTGTGCAGACATCGTCTTAATCTAAACATATTTATGTGAGCCTTATTATCCTTGGGACCCCAGGTCCGCTCAGTAAAGAAAGGTTATTAGTGTGTAAAGAAAACTGAGCAGAATCACATATTAATAAAGGTATAGTCGTCCCAGTCAAAATATTAAGGTGTAATTTATGTATGTTGAAAGGCAGTATAAATAGTAAATAAAAGAAAGAAAAAACAAAAAAGGAATGGGAGGAAGACACCTAGTCAACAGATAATAATAATAATAATAATAATAGTCGTGGAGTAAATCAGCAGATGAAAAATAAACGAAAAGAATTATGTGTCAAAAGATATCAGGGTAGTATCAATCACAAAAATAAAAAATAAGAAATAGAATAGATAATAGTAAATTTAATAGATAATAATAAATTTGTATGTTTCTATATCAGTATGGTAGATTTGTATATTTGTATATCATTGCAGAGAACAGAGAGCACTTAAGTACTTAAATAGCGGGAATAACTTATTCAATCACACATTGCAATCGTCTGGAGTACATAATAGGGAGAGAAAAAAGGGAGAGTCATTATATCGAGAGTGCCTTATTCATTAGTTGTATCAATAGAGGGGAACTATGTCCCTATAACAACAGTAATACATAGTCCCATATTGGCATCAAAGGGTCGGGGTGACCAGACTCCTAGTTCTTAAGACAAAAAGCTACCCTAGATAAACTGGGCAAACGAGAACACCTCATTAAGACCTAAAGGTTGTAGTGTCTTGAGTTTATATATCCACCTTGATTCTCTTTGTCTTAATAAACGGTCATAGTCCCCGCATCTTGGATGTCTTTTAACAAGTTCTAAACCACAGAATTTCAAATTACTAGGGTCGCCCTGATGGAATTATTTAAGGTGTCTTGAGATAGGTGTCTCAAGGCGATTCTTGGGCGATCTCACGTTCCATGATTCTTTCTTCAAAGGCTCTAAATGTCTTACCAACATATTTTTGTCTGCAAGAGCAGGACAAAAGATACACCAGGCCCTTTGTGTTACAATTAAAGAAGTTTTTAATCTTGATTACGCTCTGGCCTGCGCTATCACTTACTGTCTTCGATTCTTTGGAAATATATTTACAGGCTACACACCTGCCGGAGCCACAGGGTGGGTTGCCTAGCCAAGTAGTTTTTGGATTAGACTTGATCGATAAATGGCTCGGTACTAATAAGTCCCGAATGTTACGTCCTCTCCTAGCAGTAATATTAATGTGTGGACCAAGGACATTTTTAAGGTGTACGTCATTCAAAAGAATTGGCCAAAATCTATCGAGGGATTTCCCTTGAGAGGTCTTGGATGCCAACTATCCCAGTGTAGGAGGGAGTTTGTGGCAGTTGGTTTCCTAAACAAGGTAGAGCAGAATGTGCCATCCTCATTTATAGAGATGGTAATGAGTTTATTGAACGTCCCCCGAACTCGGATGTAAATCTAAGATTTTCCGAGTTCTGGTTCAAACATGCCACCAATTCAGTAAATTCATGTGGGGTACCCTGCCAAACAATCGGGATATCATCTATGTAGCGGCCCCACCAAATGATTTTGGATAGATAGTCTTTTAGAACGTCCAGAGTATGAATCTGCTGTTCCCACCAACCCAGGTGGAGGTTTGCATATGAGGGGGCACAAGCCGTCCCCATAGCAGTACCCCTCACCTGGTGGTAGAATTTGGTATTAAACAGAAAATAATGGTGCGACAGAATGAATTCAAGTAAACGCACCACGAAAGCTGCATGTGCATCCTCACTATCACTCCTCTGATTCAAAAAGAATCTCACATGTTCCAAGCCTCTGTCATGAGGAATTGATGAATACAATGATTCAACATCTAAGCTACAGAGGTGTGCCGAGGAAGTCAACTTAAGATTAGAGAGCAAGTTGAGAGCTTGCTTTGTATCCCTAATATACGAAGGTAAAGATTCAACCAAAGGTCTCAAAATTTTGTCGACATATAAACTACCATTCTGCGTGAGGTTATCCAACCCTGAGACAATTGGACGCCCCGGAGGTTCTTGTAGATTTTTGTGTACTTTCGGCAGGCAGTAGAAGGTTGCTATCTTAGGTTGACGATTAAGAATGAATTCATACTCGTCACTAGACAGCAACCCTCTACTGCGGCCATCGTCTAAGATATATTTGTATTTATTCAGGTACTCATTAGTGGGATCAGATTTCAAAACCCTATATGTCTCAATGTCACTCAGAACTCGTTCAGCCATTTCTAGATACTTAGTCACTTCTAGAATTACAACATTGCCACCCTTGTCTGCTGGCTTGATAATAATATCTGTATCATTCTGCAAACATTTCAGAGCCCGTCTCTCTTTTTTATTCAGGTTATTATTTGAGTGAAAATAAATGGGGTTTCAAAGTGATTTTATCGATTTCACCCCTTGCAGCTTCCAAGAATAATTCAATATTCCGGAAGGATGCAAAGTTGGGTGTATAACGGTTCTTAGGTTTCAAATTAGCACGATTAAGGGTGGTAGCTGTATCATTTTCATCCAGAAGAGGCAGTAATGTAGTTAGACACTCATAGTCATGGGAAGTAAGACCAAGATCTTTAGCTTTCTTCTCCTTCCGTATTGAATGGTATTTATATAGAGCCAATTTCCGAACAAAAAGATTAAGATCTTTAATCCATTAAAATCTGTCAAAACTAGGAGTTGGCACAAATGAAAGACCTCGTTCAAGAACATTAATTTGGTCCTGATTCAATGTATGAGATGATAGATTAATTACCTGAGATTTAGAGTGCATAGGTCGTGATGGTTGCTTATAATCCTTTCATTTCATCATTTTTTTTTCTCTTACTGTCCTTTCGATTTACCCATCTTCCAGAGCTCTGGTTTAGTATATCTATGAGATTCTAGCTATCTCAGTATTTCGATTGAATTTAGAGGGATTAGTATTTTTAGATCTAGAGAGATTTTTGCCCCCCCCATTTAGATATTATACAATCCATTTTATTTTATACTTGGGGATGTTGGAATATAGCTGATTCTACTCTGTGATTGCTATTCATAGGGATATCTGTATATATCTTTTTTTGCTTAGACCTAGCATTACCTTTGTCTTTGCAACATTCCTTCAATAGAATATACTTTGTCATTTTTTGGACACCATATTGTTACTATGTTGCATTGTGTATGACTGGCTCTAATCTATCCTCACTAATTGGAGTCTAGCAATCCAGTACTGTGTATAGAGATAGGTTTTTACAAGCTTTTATATATTTTTCTATCCTAATAAAAGTTTATTATTTTTTGCGTGCTTTATACTTTATTGCAGCTTTATATCTACACTGCTCTAATTAAGGGATATTGGTCTTGATGGAACTAGCTTTCCCTGTTCTTGGAGGAGCTTTTTTTCCTGATTTCCTCATTTTTTACAAATAAGATACCTCTATTATTCCGTATAACAGTTTTCAACACATCAATAATTTTAAAAACTTCCAAATTAAAAGAAGTTAAATATTTAAATTTAACATAGAGATCAAGTCTTGTACAATCGGATTCATTGTCTGATAATCATGAAACAAAGATCTGCTTTCACATTTTTTAACATTATGCTATTGTTTTCCAAGTTTCGCTAACAATGTTTAGATTTATATTTGGAGAACAATTTAATTTAGTGAGATACAGACATATGCAATAGCCTAGAGCTCTATATATTGTCAAGGTGTAAGCAAAAACTACTGGGGTGTAGGATTAAACAAGTTACTCGGTTATTATGCAGTAACATAGAATACTAAATGAGACATTCGGGTCAAATTATGGTCATAAATGAGACAGCCAGGCTGCAGGGGAGATGTTAAAATTATTGGTGTGGTTTAAGCTATAAACAAACTTATACCAATAAGTGGAGCGCTCCAACACAAATACAGCTTACCAAATGGTATCTCATTCAATACCACAATGTAAGGTACATGTTAAAAAAATACAAGAAATACAATATAATGTAGACGGTATGGAAAGTGATAATATAATAGTAATAATGGTATTTGGTAAATTGAACACTCACATTTCTCAAGCCTGTATATAAAAACACTGGCTCCGTATGTTGGCTGATGTGCTTATAAGGGTAGCACCACCTGTCTCCTTCGATGTGAGGTAATTCTCCAAAACAAAAGAATATAGAGAGAGCAGACCAATGTGTAGAACGTGCTTGATAAGAAACACAATATAATGAAGATAAATGGTGTGCTCACCTGGCCCTGAGCCTGTAGGTCCCGGCTCTAGGTATATAGGTTCTGTGTCACTTTAAATGGGGGTGACACTGCCCCTGGGAAGATTCTTTTTGAGGTTTCCAAAAGAAGGACTTAAAATAAATGTTATAAAAATTAGATAAATTTATTAAGAATAAAATAAAAACAATGATAATTAAAAAGTCCTCTTAAAAGTCCTCTTTCCAATAGCCAATACGCGTTTCACTCCTCCTGTGGAGCTTCCTCAGTCAGCTGTGATAGTAGTCCTCTGAATCTTCCATCTTAAATGTTTTTAGGGTCCTCCCCTTTAGTGAGTTCAATCCATTTCCTCCAATCATAATAAGGGTTATATAATCGTTATGTAGTGGAATTTGTGTGTATCCCTTTAATTGGACCGGGTTTCTGGCGCTTTTTCTTGTGTCCCAATTTCATTGGTGGGTGGTGGTTGGTTGGCTGAAGTTATCCGCGTCCGTTCGGGTGGTTGGTGGAAGTGACGTCACGGACCCACGTGACCATCACTCCGCTTCCGCCCGAAGGCTCCCTAGTTCCCCGGTCATGCCGCACGTCATCTCTGCGTGCAGGCCGGGGGAAGGGAACCATCTATGTGCAAACATGATGTGTGGCCACTTCAGTTGGTGCCGCCCTTAGGGCGTGCCTGGATGCCGGCCGAGAAGCCCCTCCCCCTGATACCGGTCAAATGCACTGTAATAGTATCCAGTGCAGATCCGGTCGGGGGGGAGCTCTACTAAATATAAATAAGCTGTGGTAGCAAAACATAAAACATAAGTGTATTCAATAAAGCATAAAATATATAAAGAAATAGTTAAAAGAGAATATATATGTTATCTCTTAGTGATATTGTGGAGCCAGCAAGAGTAGTTATTAGTGAATATTAAAGTGCTTAGTGTAGTGATGTTCTTAAAGTGATAGTTATATATTAGTGATTGTTGAATGGTATTAATAAAAAGATTGATGAAAAAAAGTATAAATATAGAGTGGTTCCTATAACCAAAGTTATATTGAAAGTATAAATGGGAAAAAATTTTTTTTTTTTTTTTTTTTTAATAGTCAATAGCTGTTTTGTGGTGAAAAAAGTGTATGATGGAATCCCTAGTGGAGGGTGTTTTAATGAAATGGCAAAGTTTGAAATCTATATTCAAACCTTGGGGTCTTAGAGTCCCAAGGTTGAATATCCATTTCATTTCATTTTGTCCTAATAGATGTGTAGGTGAGTCAGCCAGTTCCTGTAGGGGTAAAGTCCCAGCCTCTGCCATCGACAGGCACTCCTGTGAGGTCCCTGCACGGTGCTTAAGTACGCCAGTAACATAAGAGTCTCGTCATGAGGGTGACTTCTTGTCCAAGATTTGTGTCTGCCAGCAGAGATAATCTTGAGAAATAATCTTCTGAGGCAGTTATACTGTGGTGGGAGTGTGCATGGTTGTTTGCTCGGTGTCTGGGTGAGTTGCATGGAGTGTAGTGTTCACAGCAATGAGGTACTAACCAAGTTCTAAACAGCCTCCTGCGCCCATTCTTCCATGTCACCAAGGCTGTTCCCTTCTGGGGTTCGCTGGAATAGTTGGGTAAAAGCCTGTGCAGTCTGCAAGCTTTTCTCCGTGCCCGTGTGGCGATGGAAGAGGGCTATCCCTATTTCTCATTCAAAATTGGTGGAGAGGAGGCCGGGTAGGTGGCTGCTTTATGTCTCTTCTCAGTGGAGACTTTCACGTCGTTACTTTTGGCGCTGTCCTGAAGCAGATTATGGGAAGCTTCATCTCTTTTTTTCAGCTTAGCCAAAAAGCTTCGGAATATGGCGTCAAGCCTCTGCAAGACATGCTCCGTGGGACTGTGGTGGGCTGATAGTGGCATGCTTTGCGCCATTGAGGCCTGAGTAAGTGCGTCGTCCATCTTGAGTCATCTTGCTCTGTCTTGTATCGGCTGAAAACTGCAGGTATGTGCTGCAAAGGTAGTCTGTAGCTCACCAGTGGGGACGGTGATGTCCCACACCGGTCCAAAGGGGGGGAAGCAGGCTGGTAAGGTTACACGACAGGTGTGTAAGTGAGAGGAGTGGCTGCCTCCCTCCCACCCCCCACAAATCCACATTAGGTAGGCTGTGACAAAGTGAGCTGGGCTCCTGGCAATAACAGGCTTGAGTGTGGTGTCAATTGAGACACTCTAGAACCTCCGACGTGAGCAGTGCACCAAAGTAAGTTTTGAAGCTTAATTGCCAATGATTTCACCACAGTTTTGTAAATTTAGACAGGAGCTCATGCCACACACGTCCGACCAGCTCAAGGTTCACGCTCCACCCCCATTTAATTTCTTTTTAAACTTGCTTGGAGTTATGAAGTATCTATTTTTTTGGGGGGGGGAGGGGTTCCCATTATGATTTTTATGTGAAAGGAATGTTCACATAAAAATCATAACGGTTTGTAAGATCATAATAGTATCATTATGTAAAATTGTAATCGTAAGATACCAATGAAAATCTCGGACATGCTAATATTAATTCTTTAATTGAAGAATGCATGTCCTTTAAAATAAGTAAAATATTGTCTGCAAATAAACAATTGTATTTACCCCCATTCCACATTTTCATTTTCTGAGCAAAAGTAACCTCGCCACGGGCTTTGGAGGGGCATGCTGGCCAGCCTCTTGCCAAAAGATTATGGGCCCTTTAAAAACTTATGTGATTTATGTACTTTTGTACTCCAGAAAGAGAGACAGATCGTTAGCCCTAATTCCTTGGAACTGTTTTGGGCATAGGACCATGTGCACGGTCGGTCAAAATTAAGACATGGAAATCCCGAACCCCTGAACCAATCTGGGTGATTTTTGGATATGTTGGTCCCCCAGATCAGGGGACCTGACATTTGTGAGGTTTCTATGTGTTTTGGGGGTACTTTCGGGATATTGTGAAATTTATGTTTTCTGTGCTTGGAGATAATGGAGTTTAGTACAGTTCCTGATGCAATTATCTCTCAGGCACAGGGGAGCGATTATCCTATTTTGTGTGGGACTGTCCAGGACCTGAGAGCCAATGTCATTTCAATGTATACTTTTTTTTTTTTTTTTATACCAAGACAGGAAGAAAACATACATCGCATTCATAGCATGAGTATACTACAAAGATCACACTCATATGTATACATGTTAACAACAGTGCTATACCTATGGGCAGAGTAAACATAACCATGAATAGAATAACCTCTGTAACCCATAAATTCAATCAGTACAGTGTGTCTCAAAGCCGATCTTGGAAATTTACAACATTTGACAACCCGCTTTGGGATTTTTTTTTTGTATATAAAAAGAAATCATGTGCAATCATGCTAAAGATATGGTAAAGAGTGAGTGCTGTTCGCTCAATAGTCACTTCCTCCTTTAAAACTTCAGAGGGTAGTGTAATAGCTTAATTTGCTCATTTTCACTCCTAATAGTCCCTGAGAAATCATTCGCTGCTTAACTGTACATGATGAACAAGAAATATGGTAAGATAAGTGGGTAGAAAAGATAAAGAAATTAGAGAAGATGAGTATGGAGGGGGGGGGGAGAAGAGGATATGGGGGGAGAGGATTCGGGAGGAGCATCATCAGGGCCTTTTTACCTCTCCCCTTGCAAGAGTCGAACAAATCCATTGACCGTATCTGGTTCGGTCTCTAGGGCTGTTTGATTCCCAAGACTTAGCTGTGGCCTCCCAAATCTCCTGCCACTCTATGCCCTCTAATTTCTCACCTAGATCTGCCTCCCACTGTTCTGTATATGTAATCATTCCCCATTCTAGCGTTTGTGAACTCAGTTGGGTATATAGACATGAGATTAGCCCACTCGGAAACTTTTCCCTGAGGTACATTCCTTCAATGAATGTTAATTGTGCTAGGGCCGCTTTCTTAACTCGCGGAACTTGGGCATAATCCCTTAATTGCAAATATCGAAAATAGTCGAAAGATCTCAATGGAGCCCTAGTTTTCATGTCCTCAAAGGTCACCAATGAGCCATTTTCGAAAAGATGTCTCCATCTCTGCAGTCCCGCGTGCTCTAGACCTCTAAAGTCCCGTGCTATCATTCCTGGGGGGAACTCTCTGTTCGTCAGGAACGGGGTCATCGGCGAGGGGACGATGCTAAGCCATATTTAATAGCAGCTTCATCCCATATCTTAAGGGAGTTTGAAATAGCGGGACATGCTACCTTGGTAATCGGCCTGTGTTCCTTAGGGGTCCACATCATGAACCGGGGAAGATCCGTTCTCAGAAGGGAGGACTCCAAGTCTACCCACCTTCTCTCCTCCGGTGGGGTGTGCCATAGTGCTATCTGTGCCAGCTGTGTAATAATAATAAAGATTCGGGAGACCCAATCTCCCTCTCTTCTTTGCCCTGAAAAGCACGTTACATGAAACTCTGGGTCTTTTGTCAATGGGTCAATGGGGTGTAATTTTGTTGAAATAATTGAGTGGGGTCTGCTGTCAATCTAATACCTAAATATTTTATATAGTCCTTCGCAATTTGTATACGGTAGGTCTTCCCTATAAACGCGTCAGTCATGCCTATGGGAAGTGCACTAGATTTATTCAAATTTACTTTATATCCGGCTATGTCACTGTAGTTCTTCAATACGTTCGTTAGCACGGCCATTGATTCTTTTGGGTCTGTCCGAGTTAATAGGACATCATCGGCAAATCCCGAAACTATGTACTGCTTTCCTCCTACCTTTACTCCTTTAATTTCTGGGGTGTTCAGTATTTTTTGCAACAGAGGTTCTAGAGAAAGGGCAAACAATAGTGGCGAGAGAGGGCACCCCTGACTAGTCCCGTTGCCCAGTTGGAACGGTGTGACCTTCCTGAGATCCGAATTCTTGCTTTAACATTGGTACACATGGTCCGGAGCGCTGTAACGAACCGGGCCTGGATGCCAAAGTGTTCCAAGACCTTGAATAAATATACCCATTTGACCCTATCGAAAACTTTCTCAGCATCTAGAGACAGTACCAGGGTCTGTGTGCCCCTGGCAACCTGTCTCCAGATGAGATCGATATTACGCCTCGTATTTTCAAACAGCTGTCTCCTTGGCACAAATCCCACCTGTTCCGGATGGACTAGTCGTGGGAGGATCGGATTCAATCTGTTCGCGAGAATTTTGGCTAATCAGGGAGAATGGTCGGAAATTTTCAGGTATTGCATCGTCCTTTCCAGGTTTTGGTAATAAGACTATGTCCGCTAGGGACATGTCTCTGTCCGGTATCTCTCCCTCCATGAGATCGTTGCACCAAGATTCCATGTAAGGCACATGTTCTTCTCGTAGGATCTTATAATAGCTACCATCAAAGCCATCGGGGCCTGGTGCTTTGTTGGTTTTTAATGCAGATATGGCCACGTCTACTTCCTCAGCTGTAATCTGTTGTTGCAAAGCGTCTGACTCCGCTCCGAGCAGCCTGGGGAGATCCAACTGGCTCAGAAACCCTCTAATCAGTTCAGTTTCGCTGTGGTGATCTGCTGCATTTACATTGGAGTGATTGTATAGTTTAGTGTAGTATTCCGTGAAGACTGTAGCTATTTCCGTTGGGCTTGTTCGGTACTGACCTAATGCATCTTTAATTTTCGTGATATGTGAACCTCGTTGTCTTGGTCGAAGGGATCTTGCCAGCACCGTATCCATTTTATTAGCTTTCTCATAAAAGTTCACTTTAGACCACACCATAGCTCTTGCCGTGTCTTCTAATAAAACGTTGTGTACTGAATTCCGCAAATTCTGCACTGCCGCTAAGCTGCTCTGGGTAGGATCGGATTTATGTTTCTGCTCTGCCTTTCTTAAGGAGGCTAAGAGGGATGACGACAATTGTGTCTTGCGCTTTTTCTTCAGCGTTGCTTCGCGTATCAACCGCCTTGTGGGCCGCCCATACCGTGGCCATTGGCAGGCCGGACTCAGCTTCGTGAGCGAAATATTCCTTCAAGTCGTTCTGAACTTTAGCAACTATCTGAGTCTTGAAGCAAAGAGGTGTTTAATCTCCAAGATCTGGGAGATGCCGCGCTCAGCATGGTCAGACCATGTTTAGAGCCTACAGTAGAATCAGCTACTTTAGGTACAGTCGGGGGGTTCACTAAGAACATATCTATCCTTGAATAGGTATCATGTGGGTGTGAATAGAATGTGTAATCAACGACGTCAGGATGGTAAGATCTCCAGATATCTATTAGGCCTGTTAAGTAAATGTCAACAGGGTCAGGCTTACCATTAACTTTATATTTAGATATTCTCAATCTTACTTCAGGCATTTATGATTGTTTGTAACTGATGCTCAGTTCTGAAATCCATCATGTAAATGTCTGCTAATAAATCAGGATGTTTGCTTCCTGTTGCATTGGTAAATTTGCTGGTACACATAATAAAATGTAGGTAAAAACCATATTATTTGCACATGCTCTCAGATAAAAAGCTACACATTCTCATATGCAGATATTAACAAATATGCACACCCTCACACACAGGTAAACACTCCCAGACAGACACAAAAATAATCATTGTTAGCTACACACAAAGAGATAGACTCAATGTATACTTTGTTATAGTCCCCTCTCAGGTCCAGTGGGGAATGCCCCTGGAATATGTCAAGGAAAACCCCTTGCATGGGGACTTGCATATAAGGCCAGTTGTGGCTACCAATAAATCCGTTCCCCTTCATCCTCAACATAGAGCCTCGTCTCATGTTTGGAGGGGACAGCTATATTCACTCTTGGGATTGCTAAAATCACTATACTCCCTTGGATTACAACACTTGCTCTTGTAAGAGCACCCTGCTTACTCTCTGAACTAGGAGAGGTCTATCCACTGGAAGCTGGATCCTGGTCTTTGGTCGAGGGTGGGTGGAGAACTGCGAGACCCCAACCAAGCTAGAACGCTGTCTGTGGGGTTTATGGTGGTTATGGTGTCTGGTGGAACTCTGTGTTGCTAGGAAGCAGCAATTGGCGGAGGCACCCAGTCGGGGTGCCAGGCGGTCTGTCACAGCATTGATGACCAATGAAACAAATCTTCATATCCTCATTGTCTTGTATGATGGTTGCTTACAGTATATATTTTTTAAGGGACACTCCAGACCTCTAAAGCACTTTACAATGCTGAAGTGCTTTTTGTGTGATGAGTGTGTCCCCTTGATTTCATCTTACAAAAATAAATTTTACATTCAAAACATTGAGTGGCACAGAGAAGTAGCAAACATACTAGCTCTGCACTCAAACTCCAACTACTCCTGGTCATAGTACACTTCAACCCTTAAATACATGCAATAAAACCCAAAGAAAGAAGATACTTGTACACTATCTCAAATCTATATGTACATTTATATTTAAATAACTGAAACTTTTTGTATTATCACTCCAAGTAACTTTTCTTTTTTTTCCAATTTTTTTTAATTTTTTTTTATTCTTAATTTTGCATTTGAGTAAAAACATACATTCACATACTGGTGCATAGCCAAGTATACTGTGCAACCAGTATCTTTAAGAACATCTTGAGATTGTGTAAATTAGGTGACAAATGTGTGTCCAGTCTATGTGAGCCAATCGTGTCAAACTACCTTACATTTAAGGTTACTTATTCCAAATTATGTAGTAGATTTTGAACACCTCATCCTAATACTTTTCTTTGTTGTATTTCTAGGTGGATGTTCCATCACTTATCACAAAGAAATTATTGCAAGCTGCAATGAAGCACATTGAAATTATTGCAAAAGCAAGGCAAAAAGGTAAATACAATGGGATCAGAATTATTGTATATGTTTTCTTTCCAACAGCGTGCTCTATTGCTTATAGTACCAGGAGTAACATATCCCCAACTCATTGTGAGTAGACAAACCGTTTTAAACAGTTTGACTTCTAACTTGAGTTCCATCGGGCACTGCTTAATGCCCCCTCTACTTCAGTTGGAGACCTGGAAGCTCCTAAAGCAGAGCTTCCATGAGCTCTCCAATGCAGGGATAGCTCATTGGTTGAGAGTGTCGGCTGATTGGTCTGAGCCAAGACCTAGCCTTACCAGCTGTGGTTAAGACAACCATCGGATCCCAGGAAAGAAGTCAAATATTTCAAAAATTATTTGACTGCTTACAATATTAGGGTCGCCATAGCTTTCATGACACCAAAAACTACAATAGTGTGCTTTAGTGATTATGGTGCTTGAAGTGCTCCTTTAACCCCTTAAAGACAGCGGGCATTCTATGCTGTTTCTTTTTAGGGCTGTCCTAAATGCCAGCGAGTGGCATATAACTTCCCAAAACTTTGGATTTACCGGGTCCCCGCTGTTCCCTCTGACAGCGGTTGCGATCCTGGGGTCTGCCTGGGAGCTCAGGCAGTCCTGGTCTGCCTGATCCCTCCCCTCCTCTCCCCCCCCCCCCCGGCCATGTGATCGCGGGCTCCTTGCTTTCACATGGCCGAAATAGTCAGCTTATGCAGTGATTGCAGGGGGCCTGCCTGAGCTCTAAGGCAGTCCTCCTAATGCCTGTAAAAAAGTTTAGAAAATTAATAAAAGTTAATAAAAAGTTTAATAAAGTAAATAAAAGTACTTGGATATTATATGTATTATAAAGTACTTGGATATTATAGTATATGATCTAAGTACTTTTATATGCACATAAACCTACATAAACCATTAATAAGAGTGTATTTTAATATATTAATATTAAAATACACTTAGAATGACATTCGTTATATTAACAATAATAATTTTAATTTGTTCTAACTGTATTTTGATATTAATATACATATATATTAAATTCAAAATTAAAAAAATTATATGTATACATATATATTTATATAATATTTTTACATAATCAAGTCATTTTATTAATTACAATTTGAGGGACCTGCCTCACAACCCAGGCTTAAAGTCCAGAGAATTTGGCTCGCAAGCCCTATATTTAACCCTGTAACTTTCTAGGACACCATATAACTTGTACATGGGGGGTACTGTTTTACTCGGGAGACTTCAATGAACACAAATATTAGCGCTTAAAAACAGTAAAAAATATCACAACGATGATATCATCAGTAAAAATTAATTTTTTTTCAAACGGTACTTCCACTGACGATATAATTGTTGTGATACATTTTACTGTTTTGAAACACTAATATTTCTGTTCAGCGAAGTCTCCCGAGTATAAAAGTAACCCTCCCATCCCCCATGTACAGGTTTTATGGTGTTTTCAAAAGTTACTGGGTCAAATATAAGGCTTGTTTCCTTTTTTCACATTGAATTTTGCCCAATTGGTTATGTTGCTTTTGAGACCGTATGGTCAGGGCCGTCTTTAGTGCAGGGCAAACGAGGCAGCTGCCCCGGGTCCAGTTGCTCCTGGGGGGGCCCAGAGCAGCTGCCCTGTGGGCCCCGCGATTTGAGCAGCCCCCATGTACCCGGTGGGGCGGCTGCACAGAGGCGCACCGGCCCACCAACTGAGGAGGCCCCCCAGGTGGCCCATGCACTAAGGGCCACCCGGTAAACATGTGTGAGCAGGGGCCCGGTCGGGCGCTGTGACGCTTAAACAGCGTGATCGGGCCCCTTCCTGTACCGGCTGGGAGGAAGAGAAGTGACGCACATCACTCTCTTCCTCCCACCAGAGATAATAGCCGCACGGGAGGAGAAAGGCAGGAGGAGGGGAGTTCCAGAGGAGAACTCCCATCTGCCTCAGCCTGCCACTGGACCCCAGGGAAACCACCCTTCATAAAAAGGTAAGAACTGAATGACATTCAAATTTTCCCTCCTCATTAGGTAAAAATTCTGAGTACCTACAACAGGCTGCTTTGGAGGAATATGGGCCTGATCTCCATGTTGCACTGAGAAGTCGCAGAGATGAGATGTCCTACCTCAGAAAACTTACTGAGCTTCTATTTCCTTTTATCTTGCCACCGAAAGCAACAGACAGCAGGTAAAAATCTCAGAAATAACATTCTACTAGGGATTTTATTTTAAAAAGAATACATAGCTAAGACATGAAATTTGCACCATTTGAATGGGAAAGTCTTAGAACACTGACTTAGTTTAAAATGTAATTAATTTGTTTAATGTAACAGAAAATATTCTTAATTTCCCCAGACCGTTGACATTGTTGTTAAGAGAAATCCTATGTGGATCCGTGTTTTTGCCTGCATTAGATTTCCTGGCAGATCCAGTAAGTCTGTTACAATATCTAAATCAAGAATACTTGGTCTGTTTCTTTGCTATAGATGATATATCTGTAAGAATGTTTTAGATAAAAAAAGAATTTCCGATAAAATAGCCTTTTAATGCATAGCAAGTAACCTAGAAATTTGGGGTGTGGTAACTGTTAAAGTGGACTATTCACTTATCAACTCTTAATAAAGCTGTGATATAGCAGCTATCCATTTTTAAAACTGTTCAAATAACGAGAGGCTCCAGATTGATGAAACTTCATTCTAATAAGGAAGGAATTAGCCTGCTACTGACACTTGTTGAGCAAGTGCAGTACCAGTTAGATCTCTAATTTGTTTTAATATTTTTTAAAGTTGTTGTTATTATATAGTTTAATGCATTAAATAAGATATAGCAGGTGTACATTTTTAAATATTGCTTACCTTTGTATCCTGACACACATGGTATGTGTCACGGCTCCCGGCATCTCTGCAGAGATGTTTCAAACTTACCTTGGGCTCGGTGGGAAGCTACCCAGTCTCCCTCCGTTACGGTTCCCAACAGGTGCGACATTCTTAGGAACGCCGGCTTGTGATCGAATTTTTATAAGAAACTTACCTTCGCCCACATCAAAGATGGCGCTGACATACGGCGTCATGTCATAGACACGCACGCACATTTTGTGGTTAGAGACAACCAATTATAGCTTAAGGAGGGTTATTTAACCCCTTAAGGACCAAACTTCTGGAATAAAAGGGAATCATGACATGTCACACGTCATGTGTCCTTAAGGGGTTAAACACAAATTACCTTATTGTCAGTGCCCTGTAGTGGTTTCCATTAGCTGGTTATCTGAGTGTGTGTTCCTGATTGCGTTTTTCTGGTATTTGACTTTGGCTTCGTTTTGACTTCCCTGACTTCTGGTATCCTTGACTTCTGGCCTTCCTCATCGTTCTCATTTTGTGTCCCTGACCTCGGTAAGTATTTTGACTATTCTGCGGTACGCAAGTCCAGCTATTCTAAGGTCTGGTTAGATGTTATCCTTAGTCCTAGGTGTGATACTATTCTATACGTGCTGGATCAACTATAATCCTGACAGTATGTCAGTGGTCATTAGAGCCGTAGTGAATCGATGGTCATTGTTGAAGGCATTCTCTAAGGCCCATATCAACTTATGCCTGTTTAAGTGATTATGGTTCCAGTATGTGCAGTGCTTGCTTTAAAAAAAAATGAAAATCCTGTCAATACACAAATACTTTTTTACTTGCACCATACTTCACATCCAATAGATTGCATCAGTCCACACTGAACCAGAGTTCCAGGCTGACATTGCCCTTCTAAATATAGTAAAATCTTTATTCAAGTTTGCTGGTGCTGGCTCTGTCCCTGATCTGCCTCCTTGGCTGGCATCATCAGAGGTGATGATCTCAGCCTATTGTCAATTCTGATGATCTCATCCAAGGGGGTGGCCCGGGGGCAGAGCCAAATGTCGCTCTGTCCAATCCCCATCAATGCTTCTCTATGAGTTAAGTTCAGTATCTCCCACCCCGGTGCATGCTGATTATTTGTTTTCTGTAAAATGCTTTACTTTGATCTATTCCATTCAATAAGCCATTACAACAGATATTGCTTTATCTGTAGTTAAACACCGTCCAGCTAAATAATGAATTATCTTTAAGATAAAAAAAGAAAAATATAGTCTGGATTATCTTTACAAGTCTAAATGCATTGTATTATATTTGTCTCTAGGATAATGTGAACAGACTGCTTCTTATCTTCATAGATGATAGTCCGGTAAGTTTTTTTACGTTGTTCATATCTGTGTAGTGCGTTTGACATTAACCTTTTATAAATTAGAAACATAGTTACCAACCTGTTTTCCTCATTCTTTTGTTCTCTTTCAGCCAGAAGAAGCAACTGAGCCAGTTTCACATCTAGTACCATTTCTCCAAAAATTTGCAGAGCCAAAAAACAAGAATCCTTCAGTAGGTATTCTTTTGAATATAATCAAAATATATAGATGCCACACCATAAGGAAGCATTAATTTCATGTGTGTATATATATTTGTGTGTGTGTATATGTATATGTATATATATATGTATATGTATATATATATATATATATATGTATATATGTATATACACGTGTATATACAAACATACAGTGAGGGGGGAAAAGTATTTGATCCCCTACTGATTTTAAACGTTTGTCCACTGACAAAGAAATGATCAGTATATAATTTTAATGGTAGGTGTATTTTAACAGTGAGAGACAAATTAACAAAAAAATTCAGAAAAACGCATGTCAAAAAAGTTATAAATTGATTTCCATGTCAATGAGTGAAATAAGTATTTGATCCCCTATCAATCAGCAAGATTTCTGGCTCCCAGGTGTCTTTTTTTTTTTTTTATACAGATCACAAGCTGAGATTAGGAGCACTCTCTTAAAGGGAGTGCTCCTAATCTCAACTTGTTACCTGTATAAAAGACACCTGTCCACAGAAGCAATAAATCAATCAGATTTCAATCTCTCCACCATGGACAAAACCAAAGAGCTGTCCAAAGATGTCAGGGACAAGATTGTAGACCTACACAAGGCTGGAATGGGCTACAAGACCATTGCCAAGCAACTTGGTGAGAAGGTGACAACAGTTGGTGCTGATTATTCGCAAATGGAAGAAACACAAAGTAACTCTGTCTCCCTCAGTTTGATGCTGCATGCAAGATCTCACGTCGTGGAGTTTCAATTATTATGAGAACGGTGAGGAATCAGCCCATAACTACACGGAAGGATCTTGTTAATCTTAAGGCAACTAGGACCATAGTCACCAAGAAAGGTCCCCCTGCTCAAGAAAGCACATGTACAGGCCTGTCTGAAGTTTGCCAATGAACATCTGAATGATTCAGAGGAGAACTAGGTGAAAGTGTTGTGGTCAAATGAGACCAAAATCGAGCTCTTTGGCATCAAATCAACTCTCCATTGTGACGGTAGTAATCTGTATTACCGTCTAGTATTCCCTTTTTCCCAATAGCAGAATAGCAACAATAATCCACAGGATAAAATAACGCTGGTATAGACAAATAATCCACACATGAGCCAAAGCTTAATGCTGGAACAAGACTGATTTACTGGAAGCAACAGGCATTCAATTTATACAGTAACAGACTCCTCCTCTGGGCCAGGCTAGATAATTGAGTTTCAGCAACTTACTAAACTCAATTATCTGCTGGCCAGAAACATTAACAATTTTCCACATTTTTTAAAATATACTTTATACATGTCATAAGAATATAAAAACCCTGCCAAACACACAGCCAAGGATACAAAGGAGTTGCTCAAAAAGAAACACACTAAGGTCCTCGAGTGGCCTAGCCAGTCTCCAGACCTTGATCCCATAGAAAACCTGTGGAGGGAGCTGAAGGTTTGAGTTGCCATACGTCAGCCTCGAAACCTTAATGACTTGGAGAGGACCTGCAAAGAGGAGTGGGACGCTCCTGAGATGTGTGAAAACCTGGTGGTCAACTACAGGAAACATCTGACTTCTGTGATTGCCAACAAGAGTTTTGCCACCAAGTATTAAGTCGAAGGGGTCAAATACTTATTTCACTCATTGACATGCATATCAATTTATAATTTTTTTTAACATGCGTTTTTTCTGGATTTTTTTTTTTTTTTTTTGTTATTCTGTCTCTAACTGTTAAAAAAACCACTTACCATTAAAATGATAGGCTGACCATTTATTTGTCAGTGGGCAAACGTTCAAAATCAGCAGGGGATCAAATACTTTTTTCCCCTCACTGTACATACACTATGTCTCTAAGTTTATTTTAATATTCTTTATCAAATTATATATATACATATCATACAAAATACACAATCCAGCCCACTCGCTCATTCACTAAACAATGATTTTAAATTTTACAGATAGTAATAGTTTTATTTAAAAACACCTCACTTAGGCAAGTAACATTTATATTTAGTTTATATTTAGGTTTAGTAACATTATATGATCATATATTGCATAAGCCTGCTACAATGTCAATGTACCCCATTCTTGACAGGTCCTACCCTAGCAGCCTAATGCCTGCACTTATGAGTTTAATCCATTTACTTGGGAACTATTTTCTCCTGGGACTCTCTGCAGGTCAAGGCTAAATAGGATCCTGGAATGAGGCACCTGTGACAGGGAGGGGTGCAAAACCAAGGAGCTGGCCTGGACTCCCAAATATATAAATGAAACCAAGAGGGCTGCACTCACCTGAACATACATACATTATAGGGTGCTGCTGGGGCCAATATATAGAAACCAAATGAAACCAAGAGGGCTGCACTCACCTGAACATACATACATTATAGGGTGCTGCTGGGGCCAATATATACAACATACAATATACAAAATACACAATCCAGCGCACTCGCTCATTCACTAAACAATGATTTCAAATTTTACAGATAGTAATAGTTTTAGTTAAAAATGCCTCATCTAGGCAAAAAATAATGGGGGTTTAGTTACAGTATATGATCATATATTGCATAAACCTGCCACAATGTCAGTGTACCCAGTTCTTAACCCCCATTAATTTTTATATATATATATTTATTAAATTCTAGGTATATATTTATGTAATATTTTTACTTAAGTCATTTTTATTAATTACAATTTGAGGGACTTGTCTGAAATCCCATGCAGAAGTTCCACAGAATGTGGATCCCAAGCCCTATATTTAACCCTGTAACTTTCCAAAACACCATAAAACCCGTACATGGGGCGTACTGTTTTACTCGGGAGACTTCGATGAACACAAATATTAGTGTTTCAAAACAGTAAAATGTATCACAACAATGATATTATCAGTGAAAGGGCAAGTTTAAGTTTTTCACACACAAACGGCACTTTCACTGACGACATCAATTGATGTGATACGTTTTACTGTTTTGAAACAGTAATATTTGTGTTCAGAGAAGTCTCCCGAGTATAACAGTACCCCTCATGTACTGGTTTTATGGTGTTTTCAAAAGTCAGAGTCAAATATAAGGCTTGCATTTCAGTTTTTTCACATTGAAATTTGCCAGATTGGTTATGTTGCTTTTGAGACCTTATGGCAGCCAAGGAATGAGAATTACCCCCATGATGACATACCATTTACAAAAGTAGACAACCCAAGGTATTACAAAGGGGGTATATTCAGTCTTTTTTAGTAGCCACTTAGTCGCAAACACTGGCCAAAATGTTCAATTTAGTATTTTTGCATTTTTCACACACAAACAAATATGAATGCTAACTTTGGCCAGTGTTTGTGACTAAGTGGTTATTAAAAAGGACTGGACATATACCCTATTTGTAATACCTTGGGTTGTCTAGTTTCGCAAATGGTATGTTATCATGGGAGTAATTCTCACTCCTGGGCTATTATTTGGTCTCAAAGGCAACATAACCAGTCTGGCAAATTTCAATGTGCATACACTGAAAAATGCGACGTGCTATATTTGACCCTGTAATTTTCCAAAACACCATAAAACCAATACATTCGGGGTACTGTTTTACTCGTGAGACATCGCTGAATACAAATATGTGTATTTTGTTGCAGTAACTGCTAACAGTATTATGACATTCCCAGTTAAAATGCCATGCAGAACTAAAAAATTTAAAATTTCTTAATTGCTCACATTGTTTATATTTTATTCATATTAAATTATGTTTCATATATAAATATTTGTAATGAAATGAAAGCCCTGTTTCTCCTGATCAAAATGACATATAATAAGTGTGGGTGCATATAATATGAAAGGTGAAAGTTTTGTTTGTTTTGTTTTGATCTGAATTGTACAACTGCCTCAGTCCTTAACGGGTTAAACACTGTCTCTTCAGTTGTCCCTTTATATGTCCTATTATTCTTTTGAAATGCTTACCAAACCATGACACTTATAATACTAATAGAGCTATTTTGCAAATATGGATAGCCCTGAAAAAAACTTTTCTGACTTGTCAGTAGATGCGATGGGGATTTTCCCCTAATGTTTATAAAACCCTCTGCGTTAGCACGTGTATAAACTGTTGTAAAGTTAAATGAAAGAAAATGTATGTATAATTAGTAATTTGTCCATTCACTTCTGTTTGAGAAACAGGTTTGTCCAGTCCTAATGTTCATTGACATCAGAGAGAACATGGAAAAATATGCAAGAAACATAAATATAAAAATAAGAACATCCTAACCTGTTTAGAAACTCCACACCCTATGAACTTCTATGTCAGGACCCTGATCCCTTTTCCCATGGCATCTCATATCTATATAATACACTTCAACCGCAACAAGTGAATCCCCTCCATCTTTTTTTCCAAAAAAAAAAATGCAAACAAGCCATAGGAGAGAGCTTTACTGAGGCCCAAACTTTGAGAACCCCAGCACAATTGACTGGGCCTACTAGCTCCCTAGTTGCTTAACACATGACAGGAAAAATGTGAATCTCCCCTTCCCCATTTTTTAAAACCCATGCAGACTCCCCAGAAACAACAAGACAGCTCCACAACAAAATTAATACCTCTCCATGCGCATCCTCCCCCACCCATTTTGGAAACTAAAAGCTGTACATGGTAGCTTTGCCTTGTAAGCAAAGTTTGTCATTGTTGTACTGTAGTTATCCCAAATTTTACACATTTTAAAATGACTCTCCACTGCCTCCTACTGAAACAATTTACTTTTTTTTAGTAGACATACCCCAAATGAAAACATGCATGCATTTTTCTATGCATTTTTTTTCATTGGAGTTATATCTAAAAACAGCTTACAAAAGCTACAGATCTCTTGTCTGCAGCATTTGAACCCCTCCCTTTCTAACCCAGCACAGACTTTCTCTAGCTGTCCAATCACATACTTCCCATTGTAGCTCAAATAGATGTGTTTGCAAGGCATGTGCCCTGGGCAATTGCTGCCTCTTGAGTTTAGCTCCACTGAGTTAAATAAACCAGGACTTACAGTTCCGGCTGTTTGCTTGAATGCTTGGAGATGTAACAAGGTTAATTTATGGAAGTGCAAATTTCTGTTGAAATCTTCATACATAAAGCATTTAAGCAAACTAAAGTGCTTTAGGGGTCTGGAGTGTCCCTTTACATCAATATATCCATGAAGAAGTGTGAAGATCCCTGTGAGTTATATTCTGTCACTTCACAAAAAAAAAGTCTGTACAGCAGAGAACATAAGGGTGCAGACTGTAATTTATATGGTAAATTACGAGAAAAAAGTGTTGTTTTGAACTGCAAATTTAGAAATTAATCATTGATTGAAAGCAAACATATCCGCTTTTACTAAAAATGAATTAGATAAAAAATATTTATAGGTAGAGCCTATAATAATATGTAATCATTTTGTAATTTTAAATAAAATTTGTTTCCCCTCAAGGTGCTGAAACTTGAATTGAGAGAAATCCGGTCCGAGCAGGATCTTTTATTCCGTTTCATGAAGTTTTTAAAACAGGAGGGAGCAGTACATGTATTACAATTTTGCCTGACAGTGGGTATGTCTGGTTCTGTCTGATACCTACCATGTATCACATACATTTTCCTTCTTCTTTAATTGGGATGCACTGTTTCTGAAATGTTGCGCCTTACAGTTCTTCTTGTAGGTTGAACTCCTTTATTGGTTCTATGCATTTAAATACATTATGGCTTTTATGCCCTTTCGTATTTTAATTCTATCTCTGCCATACATCCACATTTTCCCTCCATATTCTCACTCATCATCCTTCTCCGCTTTTAATTTTGTCCCACTATGTTTGCCAACCTCGCAGCACAGAACCCCATCATCCTGTCCAGCTTCAGCCAAATAATTGATACCATCTTTACCTACAGTGTACCCTCTGTAAAAAAAAGTCATTCCACAATATTTTTTGCAAGAGTAGTGCAAGATGCAATCGTATTGAAGCTCAAAAGGAAAAGGCATTGCATCTTTAGGGCCCTTGACAGTGTTTTATACTAAAAATAGACTACAGAGATGCTTCTCACTGCTACTGCACAAAACCAACAATACATTGCAGGTAGCCAAGAGGTTAGGGTTCATGACATAGTTAAAACATTTGGATACTGCTGGCATCATCTGTAAGTATTTAAAAAAAAAAAAAAAACACTGTCAGCCACGACCCTTTTAAATGAAGGACAGCGGGTGTGTTTTTTGGATGGCTTTGCCGAAGGTAATTGATTTTCAGATACTCCCTTTGAACCCTGATCATAACTTTTGTTTAAGATGCCCTGCAACATTTTTACTCTACGATATCTTAGACAGAACTCAACGTTTCCTAAAAACTCCTGCGCTACTAGTCCACTCTAAAAGTTAATTGTCACTGCAAGCCTGGGGGTTTGTGCATATTTGTAGCACTGTCCATGACATTATTGCTATTCTTTGAAACATTTTTGATGCCACACATTTTCATTTTCCAGCAGATGTTTCTGTATAACTACACTCTCATAAGTAAATATAACACTTTGTGGCCAGTAGCATTGGTTTTAAAAATAAACTTTATACAACATACTATGTATTGTGTAAGTTAGGTGATACATGTAATGCAGAGTATTATACCATTTATGCTTAACAGCCTATTTGGTATGATATAGTTCTATAACCATTTTTTTTTCTGTGCAGAAGAATTTAATGACAAAATTCTCAGACCTGAGTTATCGGATGATGAAATGCTGTCTCTGCATGAAGAGGTGAAGATTATATATCGCACATACTGCCTGGAAGAAAGCATTGATAAAATAAGTTTTGATCCTTTCATTGTTGAGGAAATTCAAAATGGTAAGTTCATACATTTTATAAATAAAATACAGCTTCACCAGACAACTAGCAATGTGATGCATCATGGAGGAGGAAAACCACAGGTCCAGTACTTTTTTTTTTTTTAAAGTTTATAAATAATGATTAAACAAGTACTCCACTTGTCAAAACACACACAAACATTGTCGGGTTATTCACTAAAGTCAGAATTCTTGAGAATTCAAAGTAATTTTCACATTTTAGACCAAAATAGCCCATCTGGAAGCATAGCAATTATTCCAGTTCTGCTATTTTAACCTTACATTTTAAATTCCCTACAATTCTCACATTTGTAAATAATCCTGCATGTGTTTTTTGTTTTTCCCTTTTTCTTCTTTTTTTTTTTTTTTTTCTTTAATCTTCTAAGGTAAATATTCTAAATCCACCACTTAAGACCACTAGGAGTTAAATAATAATAAAGGGAACGGGTTTGATAGTATTTTAACAAATATTGTTTTTGTTTTCCCTTCTAGTTGCTGAAGGTCCTTACAAAGAGGTAGTGAAACTACAAACAATGCGCTGCCTTTTCGAGGCTTATGAGCATGTGCTTTCCCTCTTGGAAAATGTCTTTACACCTATGTTTTGTCACAGTGATGAGGTAAAATAATCTCAATGTTAAATGTGTGAATAAAATGACAAGACACAAATGTTTTAGTTTCTAAAAACAGTGACCATGTTGTGTAAATCAATTCCTATTTTATGATGTATATATGTATTATTTTGACTGTGTGCATAAATTCACCACTATAGAACGGAGAAGGATTAAGATCCCATGGGGCCATAGGCAGGCCATTAGTTTGAGCCCCTCTTTTATCATGCAACTTTATGGTTCTGGGGCCCTGTCTAACCCTGTGCCATAGGTAGCCACCTAGTGTCACCTTAAAGGGACACTATAGTCACCAGAACAACTGCAGCTTATTGTGTTCTGGTGATTATAATCAGTGCCTTCAGACGTTTTGCAGTAAACACGGTCTTTTCAGATTACAGCCTAGGAACACCTCTAGTGGCCACTTGAGGTGCTTCTTGAGTAAGTGCTGCACACTGTGCAGCACTGACATTCAGCTTTTCCACGCTCTGCATGGAAACACTGAACTTTCCTCATAGAGATGCATTGATTCAGTGCATCTGTATGAGGAGATGCTGATTGGTCGAGGTGGCGTTTGTATCCGCGCCTACTCCCTTGGCTGAGTTAATCAATTCTGATGTCTGCCAAGGAACTTGATCGAAGGCAGAACCAGGTGTGAGGAGACGTGTGCTGTGCTCGAAAAAGGTGAGTAAATCCCCTTTCTGAGTAGAGGTACGAGGAGCCGACCACCTAAACTGGTTTTAGAACTAAAGTGTCAGAAATACATGTGCCCCTTTAAGGTTAAACCTGCTCTGATATAGAACCAATATATAATACTGTGCATTGTTAACCCTTGTGGACTTAGTGGACACTTGGATTAGTATTCCAGTTTTTAGTCATTTAGTACCTTATTGCCTTGTAAAGCTCTATCCAGTTTTGCAATCTCTAGCATGAACAACCGGTACTGATTTTTCCATCTAATGACTGACACCCAAACATTTCAAACAATTCTGCACCCGTATAAATATATTGTCTTGTATTAACAAGAAACACTCAATGTGAGATCAATTCAAGGAGCTCAAATGAATAAAAATAATCTATATAAGTTAAGGTCTAAGCCAACATATCCACAAAATAAGAAACACACAATATAATAAATGTGTGTAATTCATTATATTTCTCTCTGAAACAAATATGGCTTTTCTTTTTTCAAAATGGTCTCTAAAACGTACAGAACAAAATAGACTGCCTATAAAATAAAAACAGAAAAACACAGTACGTGGTGACCGAATCCACATTTTAACACATAGGGGAGAGAGTGATCAAAGTATTCTGTTCTAAAAAGTGGTCTAAAGTACAAGAACATGACATTTTATTTAACTCTCAAGCATAGTCTGTAATTGGGAAATAATGACCTTTTGTATAAAGTCCAGCAACCATGAATAGGTCATCACTGCATAGAGAGATTTGCACAGAGGCTAGGATTTGCATAGGGGGACTTGCTGCAGAGTACATGTACTTGATCTTTTCCCCAAGCTATTAAAACAAAGGGTTGCATCTGTTTAACAGAAGACCATAATTCGCTATGTATTTCTCTAGATTTATTTAACATTTATGCAGTTTGAACCTATTTTTACATGGCAAATGATTATTTCTATCCACATTATAATGTTTCTATTAAGCTCTGAATTGTATCATCCTTTTCTTGTGTTAGTACTTCAGGCAGCTCCTGGAAGGTGCAGAGTCTCCAACACGCAGCTCAAAATTTAACAGGTAAGTCCATCCATACATGTGTGGTAAATTACTCTTTAAAGAGATTTTGATGTAATTTAGATTTTAGTTATAAACTAATGTACCATTGTTCTTATGACTTGTATAAGAAAGAGTGTATTTGTGTGCAAAGTCAGTGTGTGTGCCTGAAGGGTTGATGTGTATAAATGAGGGGATTTAAAATTTTAATATCCCTGTGTATTTGTGTTAATTAATAATATCCGTGAATGCAGGATTTAATCTGCCTATTCACCCTGTAAATATGTCCATTCAACATTGCACCTGGATCTACTATCCGTTAAAGGGACACTCCAGGCACCCAGACCACTTCTGCCCATTGGAGTGGTCTGGGTGCCAACTCCCTTAACCCTGCAAGTGTAATTATTGCAGTTTGCATAAACTACAATAATTATATTGCAGGGTTAACTCCTCCTCCTAGTGGCTGTCTGCTAGACAGCCACTAGAGGACACTTCCGGGAGCTGGCGGGTGTGATCGGTCTCCCCGGGGGATGACGTGGTGACAGGGAGGAGCGTAGGCGGACCCAGAAGCAGCGCTGAGGGACATCGGCGCTGCCTCGAGTAAGTCACTGAATGGGGTTTTGACCCCTTCAGCAACCAGGGATGGGAGGTGGAAGGGAGAGGGGACCTGCGGTGCTAGGAAAATGATTTGTCTTCCTGGCACTGGAGAGTCCCTTTAATGCAGAGTGTATGCCCATTCACTCTGTGACCGGAGGGAATTGGTCCATACCATAGAATGTCTTCTCACCTCAAAATGTTCTTATGCTTACTCACCCTAAGTCTCTAATTAGATTCTGGAGACCCTGGAAATATGCTAAATCACACTGTGAATCTGCTTAGTCAGCCTAAAAATCTGACCTTGTACTTAAAACGGTGAACAGATCACATGCTGTTGCTGGACTGCAGCTCCCATCACAATGAACTGGATGAGGGCAGTGGGAGTTGAGGTAAAAATAAAACTCCAAAACAGACTGGTGGAAAATGTTTTATTACATAATTACAAGCTTCACCAGGAACAGCCAGAAAAGGAAGCAGGTACTGGAGTAGCTGGAAGCAGCACTTAATCCCATCCCAAGTGCTATGACAACCAATATCTAAGCAGTGTCATGTAAACACACAACTGGATTTTCTCAGTGTTTGTCAGACATCAAAGATTTCCTGTCGTGCATGATGGGCAGCTTATAGAAACACCAGGCTGGTTAGAGAAGACCACTTGTTACTTGTCAAGGCTCAGTTTCCACTTGGCCCCAATGAGATTTTGAGCCCTGTCGATGGACTCTCCTTTATTCTTTAGTATAATGAAAGTAGTACGTTTGATGGTACTGCATCCTCAGCTAAATATATAATGAAAGTATGGTTTGTTTTCAGAGGTGATGCTAATCTCTAGACCAAGATGTTCTCAATTCCCAGTAGTAGCAATTGTCAGAAGGAAAAGTGCAATGTGTTGAGGAAGGTTGGAAAAATGTAGGGACAAGTAGTCTAGTAAATGTTATGGCTCTGTATTTGTGTCTCTCTTTCCTCATTCATCTATCAATTTCGCTGTTCAATGAAGCCTAAAACAGTGGAAGTTTTTTGTGCTGACTTTATTATTTAAAACACTATTGATCATGAACTGTTTCCATATACCTGTTACAGAAATAGCCTGAGTTTGGATGATATCCGGTGAGTGTTCAATCAGCATGTTGTAATGGCTTCCCTGTGTAGTCATGCTGTATTTAATTATGTTACCCTTTTGAGTGTATGAGCCCCTTGATGGGCTAAACATAATTGTTTACACCTAATTGTTTATTTATGTTAAAAAAAAATATACTGCCTTTACCATGTTACCTAAAATATTAGGAAATGGACTACTTTAATGTATTTTACAGTACAGAGGATTAAATGCCAGATCTATTTCTTAATTGCAGACCATTGCTAAATTGACTGTTTCGTTTGGCCATTTTTATCATGTTCACTAGATTATTAACAATATCTGCACGTGAATTGCTCTGACTGTCTCCCCAGTTTCTAGATACATGTATTAACACTGGTTCTAATTAAAGCATGCATTGTCTACATTTTTATTAATGTAGAGAATGCAGTATGCATCTCATTTTACAGACAATGCTGTAAAGGCAGTATGGCTGGCTATGTGTGTGTGCTTGGTATGTCATTAAACCAAAAGCATGAGTTCTGATAAAACACATTGCTGGCAAATGCTGAAAAGTTCATACATGTGTATTTGTTGTATTAATCATCCTGTCTATTGAAGTGTCCCTCCCTTTAATATCTAAGCCCTATGTGTAACCCAGATTAAACATGGGGGAAAAGCCACTCTCCCAAGTATCAACTGCTTTCTGGTGAATTTTTTTTTGTCTTTGAATAAAATTGTCACAAAGATTTTCAGCAAAGTAGGTGTGTGTCCTCCAACAAATCTCGGGACTCTGTCCATCCCCCACAAAGCTTACTTTTGAGAATTTGTTCTTTAGGTATTGCAGAATTGCTGATATTTTTTGGAGACCATTGGGAGAATTACTGCACATGTTCCTGAATGGTATCTCACATTCACATGTTAATGTGCATGCCCAAGCAACCAATGAGCAAATGCCAGCTGAGAATGTTAGTATGTTACATCACCGAGAACACAGAAATAAAGCTAGCTTCCTTTGATTGTGCATATTTTCTAGCATGTAAACTATTATTGGAATACTACCTTTAAGATTGTGTACCATTTACACAGCACTAAATATGTTGCCCAGAATGTTGTTTAAGTAAGCGGTTACATACAACTTGTGTGAGTCTACCGAGTATCAAATCCTAGCAAGCCTTCACTAAACCCACTTATGACTCTTTCCTCAGTGTAGTCAGTAATCCTATTGTTCATTTTATAACATACAAGTGTGATCTGATAATGAGCACTCTATTATACTGAATAATGGTAATTTGTTTTTAATTTTAATTTTTTTTTAGAGGGGGGGGGGAGGGTAGTTAATTGTGATTACCAAGCATTACGTTAATTGTCATCCCCGATAACTTGATAAAGCTCAGATTTTGGTCTCCTTTGCATACCACTGATGGAAGAAGTGTAGATCTGCGAGTTTGTGTATAGGAATTGAAACAAAGGCAGCTGGCACCCAGTATGTTGTGAAACTTCAATTCTTGTATTTGTTGTGTTTAGGAATCTGCTTAGACTGGTGACATTATTCCTAACTGCTTGCACACAGGCCATAACCAGGGCCATGCTGAACAATCAATATGCACTGTACCCCAAGAGTTAGCCTTTACATCTATTGTACGCTTGGATTAATAACAGACCAATTCTGATTGAAATGAATGCTTGTCTCTGCTGGTAGGCTCTACAATTTGTAAATCTTTGTACAGGCAAGTTATAGTCTTGGAAAAACCTAGTTATATGCTTTCGTAGCAGCCCACCCCAGACTGTTTGGGTGTGCAGGTTTTGTGGGATCAGTTTGTATCTGCAATTTAACCAGTTTCCTGTGAGGCTTAGACCATAGTGTGTACAGTGATGATTAATGGAATGCTGAGCAGCATGTGGCACTTAAACCTCTGCCTAATGCCAATTCTAAGTAGTTGGTAGGAAAAGCAATGAATAGGGATTTCATTACCTCTAAAGAAAAAAACACACCTGACTAGCAATGTAGACCTGGTTAATATTTAGACAGCTCGTAAATGTTTAGTGCTTGAATGGACTGGAAAGGCAATTATATGTGTCTTTAAACTATTAAAGCCCATGAATCGCCAACAGATCAACAAAACTTCAGCTTCCAGAAAAAAATCTTGTGTCTGCATTTTGTTTCCCTAATAGCAATTCTTTCCTCAATAATAATGAAAATCATCATCATCTGTTCCATGGAAGTGGTATATAGTGAGATGTGAATTTCAATACTTGGAAAATCTTAAAATAAATTAAGGAGAACTTAAATACCAGAGTTTCCACTGGTAAATTGTAGTTCAGTGTGGTTACAATTTATTTTGGTCTAATTAATTGGGGCTTATCCTGTATTGGTTCCCAAATTTAAATAAGTGAATTATTACAAGAGAAAATACTTTAAACCTAGTAATTCTGTTCAATGTTCCATTAAATATATTTCTGAAAAAGGTTTTATATAGCATATCCCCCTAGAGAAGCAGTGTACATGCAGAAATTCTTCGGAAAAACAATATTACATTAGTATTGTAAGTTTGAATTCTAATTAATGAACTATTAAATCTGTTGATATATGGTAACTTGATAATCTCAACAGGGCTTAAAATTTCAGTTCTTGTGCTACTAGCAAAGTTAACTGCCGCTGCTAGATTTTCACTTGCCGATGGCTAGGGGCAAGTAGAAATTTTGAGCCCTAATCTCATTGTTGGGGGTATAGTTGCTTTTGCAGAGCAAGTCCCTGTGTTCCATACATGGTGTACACATCTCCAGTCAAGGCCAGAATAAAGAAATTGCAATGTTTGTACAACATTAGATTTCTAAAAATGAGTGAACACTATGCATGGAAAGTGCTGCACAATCATCCGATGCTTGTCATAGGAAAGCCATTTACTCTAATGAGCTTACCCAAGATCTTCCATGTCACATAACAGAGTTTTAATTGATCAGTGCAGTAGAAGTGTTTCTAGTGGTTGTCTGTATGGAGTGTTAAATGTTTAAGATGAACTGGTTCTTTAAAGATTACTATAGAATATCCCATTGACAATATTCAAAATCTGTCTAACTGCATATGTGTCTTGCTGTGTATGAAGTGTCTTGCTGTGTATGAAGCTATTATACATACGAATACCTAGTTTGGAGGTAATGTGGCACCAGGTTTCTGAGTGATCAGTCTGCCTTTGCCATAATATAACTCCATGTTGGGCATGTAATATGGACTCTATGTAAATATGAATTGTAGGAAGAGAGCTAAAGTATATCCTGGGTGGCCGCTATCCATCTCCTCTGCAAACTAAGGTTGGGAGTAGTGATGTCCCGAACTGTTCGCCGCGGACTCCAGTCAGCTGACACACTCCAGCCATTCAGCAGCAGACTCTCCCACCTCCTGGACAGCATCCATTGTGAAGCTGCATTCTTGGTGAGGTGTCCAGGAGGTGGGAGAGTCTGGGAGGGAGGGTTTGCTGCTGATTGGCTGGAATGAGTCAGCAGACTGGAGTCCGCGCGAACAGTTCAGGACATCACTAGTTGGGAGCAATTGCCATAACTTCTTTGGACAGCTTGTCTGCACCGTGATGTCCACTTAAATTTTCACATGACTAGTTTTCTCAAAACGGCAGCTAGTTTGTATTAGTCACATTCCTGATTCATTATCTAAAGTTTAAAACTGCTTGATTAGCCTTTGAACTTGGCAGTAAACTTGGGTTTATGTACCATGTACAAACGGCTATGTCCTGAAAAGGTTGGTTAAAGAATTAATGATCTCCTGTTTTGTTTTTTTTAAACATCTCATGGGCTACGAATACAAGATGCTCTACCTAGATTGTTTCAACTCCAATTAAATAATTTTTACTTTTCAAAATGTTTTTAGTTGTGGGTTAAGGTTTATGTTATGTGCCCTCTTTGTCCCTTCTAAATGTATTTAACTTATGTCATTGAGCATGGCGGCAGTGGCTGTGTTGGACGATTCGTGGAATATTTACACGTGTCTTGTTGGCAGCCTGACAAATCACTGCATGAAGCTTTCTATGTATTGCAGCACCGATGTTAGTTGTTTTTTTATGTTTGTTTGTTTTTTATAGACATTTTATCACTTTCTGCAAACCTATTGATTTAAATCTGAGTTGGACTTGCGCTTACCTAACTAAACCGTGATGATTCTCAATATAATCGTGTGGCATAGTCACAGAAAAAACCCCAAACTAGCCCTGATTCATGCTACTTATAAGAACGTTTTGCAAATTAAGGCCTTTGAGTACACTGAAAAATTCTGCATTTATGGACATATACAATAATGTGCTGCTGCTATATGCAAAGCAATTACAGGGACACTCCTGACCTCTAAAATACTTTACCTTGCTAAAATGCTTTATATGTAAAGAGCGTGTTTTTTATTTATTTATTTGTATTTTACAAAAAAGTGCAAATTTTAATAGAAATTGACACTTTTATAAATGAACCTTGTTACACTCCCCTGACTGTCAATCAGACAATTGGTCCTGTTACTTCCTTCCTCTGTGTTTAGCTCAGTAATTGCTCTGAGCAACGGCCTTACAAAGACTTCTCATAGAGATGCACTGGAAAGTCTGATTGGACATCCACAGTTTGGGCTGGGAAAGAAGGAGAGGGATTACAAAGACTTCAAAAAAAAAAAAAAAGATGTGAAGCTTTTGCTAGCTGGTTTTAGACATACCACCATTGGTAAAGGAAAAAAAAATAAAAGCATGATTAAACACATGCAAGTTTTCATCTGCGGTATATCTACTAAACAGTGATTTATAAACATATTTCATCTATTTTTTTTTTTTTTTACTTTGCGCAATAGAGTACTCTTTTATTGGGTGAAAGAAATATATATAAGGGGGATGCAAAGAAATATACAATATTTTACTGTATGTTTAATATAATGAGTATGACACCTCCTGACCTTTAGCAGAAACATAAAAATATGCATAGTATAATACTGTTACACAAAATAAATTTGATCAATTATAGAGGTATTGGGTCACTCACAATTTGCAGAGCCATAAACAGCTGGCTCTGACTTTGAAGACAGATGAATAATAAGCTTATTCAGGCTTACAGAACTCCAAATAGGTCTACTCCTTTCCAGCCCCTTAATAAATTTCAGAGTATCCGATGTGGTAAAGAAGAAATATACTTTACTGGATAAAAATAACACTGGAATCAAAACAAATAAGCCTTAAAATAACAAACAAAATGTTCTCCACAACACTAATGCGTTTCGACCAGCGGGTCTTTGTCAAAGTGTACAGTGGATCCTCATCTCTTTCTGAGTACTCTTTTCAATAGGGTAAAAACATATCTATACTAATGGAGATCCCATCTTTTAAGTCGCGAGGAAGCAAGTGGCATTGCTATAAAGCAGAATGTGTATTGGTCCATTATGCAATGAAGACATGATATAAGCGTGCACTGTTGTATATTGAAGGCTACCTGTGCACACATATACAAAATTTTCACTGTAGTGCAATTTTGCTTGCATTAAATAATTATGTCCTTGTATATAAGTAATGTTCAGTTTTCATGGGCATATAATCAAAACTGAATTGCATAAATAGTTGTGGACACCTGTGGTGGTAAACGGACTAACACAATTCACAAATATTTGTAGTGTAGTGTAACATGTTGTAAATATATGCATGAACATCAATTCATTTTTTTGTATATTCTTCTCTCAGGACTACTCAAAAAAGGGCAGGGGAGCCCTCAGGAATTGGAAAAATAGGCCATAGAATAAAAGGAGTGTTTAAGAGTTCAACAATGGAGGGTGCTATGCTGCCTAACTATGCATTGACAGATGGAGATGATGTGGTGAGTAAAATTATGTAGATGAAGCTACCTGTTTTAAGTACTTACGTGTGCAGTGTTGGCACATGTACACATTTTATTTTATTTTTTTTGTGCATATGATTACAGCAGTGCTTGCATAGCCACAATAGCTTTCGCAAGCACGGTTATCAGTGAATATGACTTAAACATGGCATGTATGGAACATTTTTCCTGTTTTATCTATCACTTTAACGTTAGGCTATTCAGACTTAAAACTTAATCTGACATAATGCTAGGTAGATACATTTTTTTTTTTTGTAAATCTTTATTTTTGTTGTGCGCAGGTTAGCAAAACATGCTTGTCTAGCCACGACAGCATTCACAATCTGAATTATTACAAACAATGTTGGTCAGAGCATGGCATTCCAAATAACAGCACACTTTTTTTCTTTTTTTTTTTGAGTATCTGGCAGAAATGTTAAGAAAATAAGTAAAACATTTGGTAGCACATGGGTAGACCGTAAGCTGCTCACAAGATAAAGAAACACTTTGCTCCATGAGATGCATATGATTGATTAGCACCATTTTCAATAGGTAGTCTTATCAAGCTAGGTAAACTGCCCTAGGTCACAATTGTAAATAGTACATTAAGCTAGTGTTGCAGGCTATTCTGGGTTATCAAGCCATCAGATACAAAACAGATAACAGTTGCCTCAGTTGGTGATAGATTAATTAACTAACATGCACAGATAAAGTAGAGCGATGGATAAGGCGAGGAGTGTGGTGTAGTATGCATGACCCATAAGATCCACAAGTCTCTTACGGGTAAGTGGGGCAGACATTAGAGGCTAGTGCCCGTCTGAGAGTTCATAGTGTATAGTCCAGCACGGCATCCTGGGTCCCATATGCCTCCGGTTTCCGGTCGTGATGGTCAGCCAGCACTCTCCAGCACCTTGTCTCTGTTTGGGTTGGTCTGTACGAGTAAGTCCCGGGTTGACTCGGTGCTGTGTGTGAGAAGCGGCCGGCATTGTTAGGCCGATGATCGTCCCAGACCTGCATTTCTTGGAATACTGCATGGTAATGGGGATCTTGGTGTTTTGCCCGGGTCTCCGGTTCCGCTTTGGGCCTTTTCTGGGCCTCATTGGCAGGTTCTTTCGTGTTGCCGCCAGAGGTTGTGAGCGTTGAGACACCGTTGCGGTAGGCAGTTCCAGCGAGGTGGTCTGCATTCTGTTGGTCAGCTTGGCCCAGAATTCCGTGAAGAGTCTGTCCAGTCTGGACTCCAAGTCGAGTTGCTGGCCCCATGAACACGAGGCATCCGTCATTTTAATTGTGTCTGCATGTTAAGTTTGGCATCTCAGTTCAGGGTTGCAAGCTTTTGTGTGTCGTCGGGGGGACCTTCGGTGAGAGGCATCACAGCCGGCGGAGGGATCGGCCGCCTCCCTGTGCCATCCGAGCAGGACCCAGCTTAACCTCGGGCCCATCCCCGCGTTGTATACGCTGAGTGTGGTTGTTTTCTCGATTGTGCGTTGATGTGGTGGTAACCCCATGTCCCTGGGGTTGGTAAACAGGCATTGTGCAGAGTAGTCGCTTTAGTTTTCACAGATTTTGCCCATTTGGCCCGGAGCTCGTCTGGCATGCGACCGCTCAGCTTGGCTGCTAAGCTCCGCCCCCGGTAGATACATTTATAGGTCGGTAGGCTGAGTAAGCAATGAGTCTAGCATGCTTCAACAACATTTGGAAGTACCACTGTTGCCCCCTGCTGAGTGTCTTTATCTGGAGGCTTTGAGACAGTCACCCTGTGTGAGCCCCGGTGTCGGTGGGTCTAGGCTGTGTGGCAGGTATGCTCAGCTGCGTAGTCCCTCTGTGTTGCGCTCCACCTTCAGGGATCAGCATAGGTGTTAGAGGGGTTGCGAGTGTGATAGCTGGTCAGTAAGTTTGGAGGGTCATGGCGGCGGTTCATCAGGCTCGGGCTTGGGTTGGGTCGTTCACCCCACTCTGGTGCTCGGGAACTGGTAGGTATAGTCCAAGGGGGTTATCGGGCCAGAACACCTCATTGTATCCCTCCAGCCCCAGGCTTTGTGAGGGGCCTGCAGTAAGTGGCCACAGACTCGGGGGATCGTATCAGAGTCCAAGTCTTTCCTGGGTGGGGTGCGATAGATGCCCCGGTTGTACTTTCGCCGGCTACGGTGGGGGTTCTCTGCCATGGTGGCCGGTGCGTGGTGTGTTTCCCCCTGTCGGCCCTCGGCCTAGGTGGGTTTGGTCTGCTGTGGCTCTGGCTTGGTGGGTACATGTGCCCGGAGGGTGTAGCTTGTCTAGCCGTTGTTCCAGGCTATTTTGCGAGACTTGGTCTTTAGGTGGTTCGTCTGATTTTGGCGTGAGTCGTCCTTCTGCTATTTTGAGTAGCGGTAGAGGCCTTCACTGTGACTTCCGCCTGTGGGTGTCAAGGGTAAGTGAGGCAGCCAGTGGGGTCCGGGATAACCCCCAGCGGTCCAGGGGGGTGGGGCGGCGGAGATCAGGACATGCTGCAGCCCTCTCCAGTGTGCAATGGATCATCCCGATGTAGCAGGGCAAGGTGGCAGCCGCCCGCCCGTCTCCCGCTCAGATAGGCCGTGATCCGCGGAGTGTCGCTTGGTTGACCGGAGCGTCAAAGTTTCAAATTTGGAGTCTGACAGCATCCTCTCCGGTAACCTTTTCCCCCGATTTTGGTCAGCTTGCTGCTTAAATATCTCTATTAGTCGGTCTTTAGGCTTTGGGTTTCAGGAGCTCAGCAGGCATGCGACTGATCGGCTTGGCGGTTCAGCCCCGCCCCCCACATGTGCACATTTTAACTACCGAATTTCGTCCTAACAGAATGAGAACATTCGTGTTAGGACGCAATTCAGGACTTTTGTTCGGATCGGCATTTCAATCGAATGAAATTCCGATCCTATTCGCGCCGCGAGTAGATTGCTCCATATTGCTCATGGTATTAGGGAGCTATCTACTAAAAGGCTGAAAGACCTAATTTGGTCTTTCAGCCAAATTTACTAATACTAAGTAAAGATTAATCTGCCCCTACTCGCTATACCGAGAGTAGGGGTATGTCTACTAAACAGTGTTGTAAATGACCCTCCCAGTACTTTAATAACGTGCCCCTTAGCGGGGCACCTATAAAAATAATTGAGGGGGGGACAAAGTGTCCCCTCCGAGACCCCACTTGTGCACCAAGAGTAGGGGCCAGTAAACTAAACGGGACAGGTGGAGGCCCCAAGATACATTGGGCGGGAAGGGACCTACCTATGGGCGGCAGGTGGGGGGCCCTTAAGTTACAATAGAGGGGAACCTATTGGCCATGCGCAGTGGGCGGGGACTTAAAATACACTGGGGGGGCTATTGTGTTTCCCCCATCCATGAGCGGCGGATGGGGACCCTACACTCCCTACACTCTGACACCCACTCAATAGTCCCTACTTTGTCTTATCTTTTAAAGAAAACTAGAGCAGACAGGAAGAAATTAAGAACAGATCCTGAGAGAGGGAGAGAAGAGGAAGCGATTGGGGAAAGGTAAGTTTGGCATGACAGTGCCGCTTTAAGGTTCCCCAGGTTCATGTTGTTTCGAAGGACTGCCAACAATTTTCCTGGATCAAAATGTCAGAGGATTTTTTGCACCTTATTTGTACTTGTTGCATGTAAAGTCTAGAAAAAATAAAGTGTAATATGTATGAATGTTGCATTATTTATTGCAGATTGAAGAAGGTATTATGGTATCAGAAGATGATTCCCCAGTGGAGGTTCTTACTGCAACAACACCAAACACACCACGCAATCTCTCCGCCTGGAAAATCAGTATTCCATATGTGGACTTTTATGATGATACTTACCTTGAAAAGAGAGACCGAAAAGAGAGAATTCCTGTATATTGTATAGATGTGGAGCGGAATGATAGAATAGCAGGTAGAAAATTTTGCAATTTAACTCTCATTCATATTTCAATTATAACTGATTTGGGATTTAATTGGGCGTTGAACATTTTGAAACATTTATTGTGCAAGATGCTTTGTAGGAAACATGATGGGTGTGAGTAGTCTGTGTACTGTGCCAAAAGTTGTTGTGAAAGTCATTGTATCCAAACCATAGGAGAAAGCGACATGGAGCTGAGGTGCTGAGCACTTATATCAGTCTTTAGTATGATACCACATGTAACGTGGGCAGGTTAATGTGTATGCAAGCCCTGTGTAGCATGTAGAAGAATGCTTCCTTCTAATTGTTCTAATTGCGGCCTTCCTTCCCTGTGTCACCATCTTCTTTCTCCCATTTTTTCCTTATATATCATTATTGTTAGAGAGGCAAGGATCAGACTGTAGTATTTAGACTAAACAGTCTGCTATCATAAAGCATGCCATGATCACGCTCTCTATTTGGACAATAATCAAACTTTAATCTGAATTTACAGATGGTAAAAAAAAAATCACAAGTGGAGCCACCGAACAAAAACTTTAAAATGTGTTTTAAAGTCTTCAGTTTTTAATTATAGGAATACATTCTTTAGTAGTGTAGGACGGTGGATATGATGTCACGCACATTACTTCAGAGGCAGCATTTCAAAAGATGTGCATGTCTTTAATTTCTAGTGTAGTTCCATGTGGCTTCACTTCACACTGATATAATATGAGTGATAGCTTCCAGAGACTCTGCCCCTACTAGCTGGTGGCTGCATGTAGGATATGTGGATATGTAGGATATGTCTAAAATTCTCTTGCCTGTTAGTGTTGCGTACATTTTGAGTATGCTAGACTGAAATGTTATTTAATTGCCAGAATAAAGATTAGCAGGATACAAAGTAGCATGTCCCTCAAAGTTAAAGGGTCTCTGAGTCAGCTTTAATATACAGATCCTAGATATGTTAAATTAGTTTAATATCTTATCCAGAGATTGGCAATACATTTGCAATATTAAACTGTATATACATTTTTGTTTTTCTAGTGGGCCACGAAGCTGAACACTGGTCAGTGTGCAGAAAGTACATTGAATTTTATGTGCTGGAATCAAAGCTCACTGAATTCCATGGTATGTCTGTTTATATACTATTGTTGTTATAGAAGTGTTTCGGATCGTCCAACAGTTACAATTCTCAATCAAGGGTTTGTGGAATCTAATTGCAGAATGTGGGTGTGTTAGTATGGTGCCCACACCTCTTAACCCCTTAAGGACACATGACGGAAATATTCCATCATGATTCCCTTTTATTCCAGAAGTTGTGTCATTAAGGGGTTAATACCAAGTTTCTACTTGTGTACAGATTCGTCTGAAACTGCTGGATTATACATACACTCTTGCACTGCACAAATAGTTTCTGGATCCAGAGCTCGATGCAATAGCTCCAGTGATATTTCGAATGATACAGTTTTCATTGTTCCCCTCTCAGTTGACATTGTAAAACAGATGCTAGTGTCCTAGTCAGAGTTTTATCTCTCAGATTACTTAGAAGAACAGAAGTAATACTTCTATCCATATTGGTTGAGATGATTATTTTATTTTTAATATAAACTGGTGAATCACTTAAAACATTACTCCAACCACCAGGACTTAAAGTGATTTAAAGGGGTCATGGTAAAAGTATGTGGAGTGTTTCATCTTCAGACACTGCATATACTGAGGTATTTTAATTGTATGCTAGTTGCACCCCCAGAAAATGTGACCTAGGCAGCCCAGAATTCTGTTACGGTCTGCCTAATATCAATTCCGTGTATATATATTGTATCTTTCGTCAGCGCACCGATGACGACATGATAATGTTCACCCTTGCAGATTGCGTGCATGCACTCTGAGCTGGCAAAACCGTCCAAAGACAAGCTTTTATTTTGATAACTTTAATTTGACTTTAAATTCCTGACTTTTCAATTTAGTGAATAACTCTGTATAACCACTAGGTGGCAGGTTGGGACCAGTGTAGGAATCATTTTTTTTTTTTTTTATGAAAGCTGCCTTATAAAATGCTATTCATCTAAAAATATATATATTTATTTTAAATTAAAGGTTCTTTTCCTGATGCACAACTTCCTTCAAAAAGAATAATTGGACCAAAGAATTATGAATTTCTAACATCCAAGAGAGAAGAATTTCAGGAATACTTACAGGTACGATATTTATAAATACATAGAGCGTTTGATCTGGGTATTTAGGGTTTTAGGATTTTATATGGCATATCATGTGTCTTGATACTCAAAGAAGTACATATGTTTATGTAATTGGGGGCAGGGTGTAATGCACAATTGTGGCCAAATGCTAAAATTACATAAGTTTACCCTCTTCCTTTTTTTTTTCTCTCTTGGATACTTACGTGTGTGTGTGTTAGCTTTAAATTAAGCATTGGCAACTAGAGTACACTAAACACTAATTCTTATTTATTCATAATGTTCAGCTTACTATTTAGCATATCTAGTAAAATGGAGTGGTCTAGTGGTCTTTACCATTTTTCCTCTTTATGCCCTCTGTTACAGACTGAGGGAATCAAAATATAATGTAACCTGTTGCCACTGTCTATATTTAATGTAGCACTCCTAAAAAGGGAATAGATCTATGCCCATCATGGCAGATCTCTTGGCTTGCCCAGTTGACCAATCACAGGTTGTCTGTAACCACTGCAAAATCAAACATTGTTCAGATGTATGCTCATTAGGATGTATTATCCAGTGCCTGCTCTGTATTCTCCATTCTCTTTAGTAGAACAAGAATTACTGTAGAAAGAAAACCAAATATTTTGTACAATGTATTTGGTTTTTTTTATCTTCCCAATTTTTATTTTTCCAGAATCTTTTACAACATCCAGAGCTAAGTAATAGCCAACTGTTAGCAGATTTCTTATCCCCCAACAGTTTGGAAACACAGTTTCATGACAAGATCTTACCAGACGTGAACTTTGGTATGTATTAACAATAAGTGAGGAAAGCAAATATAAAGCTAGCCTTAAGTAATTGGTCAATGTCTGCAAATTTATTAAAGGATATCGGTCACAAATAAATAAATAAAACCTTTTCATCAAGTTTTAAATGGAAATATATACATTTTAAAATAAGGTATATGGAGAAAAATTAAAGAAAACACATCCCCATCTGTTAGTACATGACCGGTTCCTTCAGCCATATACATACACAGTAGGTCAGACAATGCTTGAAAACGGGCCGTGTCTATGGTTCTGTGCAGGCAATGAAGACCATAGAGACTGCCAGTTTTCTGGTCCACGGTGCATGTATTTGGCTAAAGGAACCTGACACATTCTGAATTTTTCGAACATGCATAGTTATCCGCTAAAATTTGTTCTTTAAATATGTTCTAGTAATCCAGAGTGAAGTGACACATTTAGTACAGCGGTTCCTGAACTGCGACAGGCACAGGGGTGCCACGGAATGTTTCATAATCATAGCACCAGGAAACATTACTACTGAACAGGGGCTTGGTTGGGGGCCGCATTTCTCTAAGACCGCGACCGGGACCATGTAATGTAGGCCAACTGGGAGGAAGTGACAGCCTGTCACTTCCCCCCAGCTTTGTGCAGGGAGACAGTGCGGGAGGTAGAGGAGGCAGCCGCAGCATGAGGGGAGAGGGGCACTCCAGGAGCTGCTCCAAACTCCTTACTCACATCAACCAGCAGGACTCCTCCTGGTCACATAAGGTAAGCTAACAGGAGGGTGGCTGGAGATATTAAAAATATCACTTGTGTGTGTCAGGGTGTGCATCTGTGTATCAGAATGTGTGTGTTTATGTCAGTATGTGTATCTGTATCATTGTGTGTGCATGGATCAATGTTTGTGTGTGTGTGTCACAAACATGTATTCCTGACCCTATAGTGTTAAAACCACCATCTAGCCCCTCATGCCTCCATAAATAAAGCAAAATCTTACTGTATTCAAGCCAGAAGCTGTGGATCTGCATGCTGTTTGCCTAAAAAAAACAAGCAGTCTGCTGACATCATCAGAAGTGGTGGCCTGATCCAATCACAGTGCTTCCCTATAGGATTGGCTGAGACTGACAAAGAGGCAGATCAGGGGCAGAGCCAGCATGATTCAAACACAGCCCTGGCCAATCAGCATCTCCTCATAGAGATGAATTGAATCAATTAATCTCTATGAGGAAAGTTCAGTGTCTACATGCAGAGGGAGGAGATACTGAATGTTTGGATGCATTTTAGGCAGCCATGACCCAGGAAGGATCTAACAGCCATCTGAGGAGTGGCCAGTGAAGTTATCACTAGGCTGTAATGTAAACACTGCTTTTTCTCTGAAAAGACAGTGTTTACAGCAAAAAGCCTGAAGGTAATGATTCTACTCACCAGAACAAATCCAATAAGCTGTAGTTGTTCTGGTGACTATTGTGTCCCTTTAAGGTTGGTGTATGTTTCGGTGTCTGTATGAATTTGTATATATGCATGTATATCTGTGTATGTATGTGGTAGTGTATGTGCATACATCCAAACAGTCATATACCAGCACTACATACAGACACACCCCTCCATTCAAATGCTAAAATGATATACAAACACACCCCTTCACTTAAATACTTCACACAAATATACGTCCGCATTTGAAAGTGACCATTACATTCAAACACACCCCTGCAATCAAACACAGACATTACATACAAACAAACCCATGTATTAAAACACTAAAACTATATACAAGAAGCACCCCTTCACACGCCAACACTGTACATTACACATTAACGCTGGTAAATGCGGCAGCGCTGTACAGATGTGCAACCTAGAAATTTTGACTTGGCTTGCCTTGGAAAATAATGAAATATTAAGGGCGCCTTGATCCTAAAAAGTTTGGAAACCACTGATTTAGTAGACAAAATGTTGAATACTCTGTCTCCAAGTATAACTTTCTGTGTGCTCTAGATGCGATTTGTCTGCTGGAGGTATCAGAATAGTCTTCCGCTCCTCCTGAGTAGCCGATGTTCTTCTCTTGGTGTCTGGTTAAACAATATTTTCTTATCTTTTATTTTTTATTTACGGTTATTTGATAATTCTATATTTTCACTTGTCGTCACCACTATTTTTATTTTGTACAAAGTTCTGGTACATCTTAGGAAAGGAGTCCAGCGGGATCTTTATCAGCTCCACAAATGTTTAGTAATAGAGGGAAAGGGACAAAGGTTATGGGGCAGTAAGGTCCTCTGTACTTTTCTCCTTGCACCTAGTTGCTTATAAGTGCACTAATTTTCAAATATCTAGCACCTTGATGAATCCATGTCACAAAGAAGTTGTAGATGTCAAAGAGAGTATCACTTTCTAGCAGATGCCCGCTTATGTTTTCAGCATAAATTTGATATTCCTTAAAGGACCACTATAGTGCCAGGAAAACATACTCCCTCAGGCACCCCCTCCCGCCCGGCTCTGGAAGGGGGAAAGGGGTTTAAACTTACCTTTTTCCAGCGCTGGGCGGGGAGCTCTCCTCCTTCTCTCCTCCTCTTCTCCTCCTCCTGGGCTGAATGCGCACGCGCGGCAAGAGCTGCGCGCGCATTCAGCCCGTCGCATAGGAAAGCATTTACAATGCTTTCCTATGGACGCTTGCGTGCTCTCACTGTGAAAATCACAGTGAGAAGCACGCAAGCGCCTCTAGTGGCTGTCAATGAGACAGCCACTAGAGGATTAGGGGGAAAGCTTAACCCATTCATAATTATAGCAGTTTCTCTGAAACTGCTATAATTATGAAAAAATGGGTTAACCCTAGAAGGACCTGGCACCCAGACCACTTCATTAAGCTGAAGTGGTCTGGGTGCCTAGAGTGGTCCTTTAGGTGGCTGGAATTAAATTTAACTAGTTATTTTAAGTATAGTCTAATACTGCAGTGTATGAGAAGTCTAACCATATTTCATTGACTATGTTTATTAATTCTAGTGATCTGAAGATTGAAAACTTGCTATGTTTTTGTGAGTTAAAATCAGTTTACCTATCATTTTAATTCACAGGGAAAATGATCAAATCAGTTCCAGGAAAGCTCATTAAAGAGGTAAATTTTCCTTGTTACTTATAGTATACATAGAATATAATGTGTTAAGTTATGATAGCAATTAGAATACTGGTGATCAGAACATCATTGCAGTACGGTTGGGTTTTAATTATACATCGTATTAGGAACCTGGAAAATTGCAGGGGATCAACAGCAATAGCTTGAGATAGCAATAATAATAATAAAAGGATAAGCTCAGTTTTACTTTAGAAAGTCCAATGAGCGTAGTCACTTCCTGCTTTAGTGATAGATCCTTACAGGAGCTGCTTTATCTAGGGACTTGTAGTAAATGCTGGAAGTACTTTTGACATAATAATGTCAATTCATAAAAGTGCCAATTTCTATTAGAACCCTGCTCACCCCGGCTATCCAACCAAACAGCCAGGAGAGTTTCTTTATGCTTCCGTTAGCTGCCGTGAGCACCTCCTACCTCCCACACACTGCATACCTCAGACCAGTGTCCAATATGCTGCTTGCACGCTGACACACACAGCAGGCGCACATGCACGGAGGGAGTCTTAATCACTTACTCAGCTTCTCAAAGTAAAACTTCTGCCCCAGGGGGTCTCTGGTAAGAAAGATGGAGACTCATATAGAATTAGATTCTGGCCCCTCAAGCAAGTATTATTAAACCCCTCCGTATCATTGGTTATATACCCTGTGGATTACCAGGATTAGCCTAGAGGTGGAGTTAAGGCATATCTGTAGAGACAATAAGTGAACACCGCCTTGTGTTCCAGACCAACATCAATCCAAATGGAAACATTTGATTCTATCGCCTTGTATGTACTTGCCACAGAAATAATAATTCCATCTAGGAATTTGTTACAATTTCTCCATTCCATAGATATGTTACACTTCTTACTTGTGACCCAATATAGCGGACATCCCGATCCCTTCCCATATTGTTAAGTTTAACCAATCATATTTGGGCTTGTTTAGAAGATGGTGCTTGTCCCATTCTAAATATAATAAAAATGAGGCTTATTTATTATTCTGTGAGCACATATTAATGTTTCTTTTGGATATGATACTTGAACACAAGGCTAATGATCATTAACATATCAAAGAAATTACCTCATCAATTAAAAGGTACAGGCTATGTGGCTGAAACCAGCTAGTTTACATTGGGACCAGACATTCAGACTTTTGAAGTGTAGAATCTCACTCCTTACAGAGCCTTTGATTGATCACCCCATCTGACCCCTTTCACATTCCTATGCAATTTACATTACCCCTACTGTCATGTGACCTCTGTGGGGGTCTCCGCTTCAAAGAGGAATTAAGGCTATAAACCTTCTGGCCTTTCATACAATCAAATTAACCCCTTTTGACATTGACAATACCACCTCTACCAGGCAGGCAGGTCATAAATGCACTACACAAATTACATTAAGGGACAATATTCCATAGTGCAATAATGAACTATGCACCCATGCTATGACACATGGTTACAAAATTATGAATTTATTTACTAAATAATTGATTAAAATGGCATGCAGAGTTTTAAGATTTACACCAAACTAGGCAAGTTGGAATCATTTTCCTAGTCACCCCTTCCATCTTGGCTATTTTGTCATTTTATTGTAAGCTTGTTTGAGCAGGGCCCTCTTCACCTCTTGTATATGTAATCATTTTATGTCTGCCATAATCTGCTGTTATATTTATCCTCTGTATAATTGTGAAGTGCTGCAGCATATGTTCTCGTTATATAAATGATGATATAATCATTTTATTTCACTGTGCTATTTCAGTGAACAAGTGACAGGTAATCTGGTTAAAAAAAATTAATTTCCTATGGTGTAGCATTAACTAAGACACAAGAAAAATATTTACATTTTATCTAAGCGCTAATGCATTCTAATATATATTTTTTCAGTTTATTTTAACCCTGCGTATATTCTTCTTAATTGTAGAAAGGACAACATTTGGAGCTATTTATCATGACTTTTATAAACTCCTGTGAATCTCCAAAACCCAAACCAAGTCGACCTGAACTGACAATTCTTAGTCCCACCTCTGAAAATAATAAAAAGGTGTGGTATTGGAACCTCAAGAAACTATGCATGCATTGCATTCTGGGACCAGGAGCTTTGCATTTTAGGAATGAGCAGAGGCTTACATGGCTCGCTTTACTTGTTTGGTTTTAGAGTGTGTGTGTGTATGTGTATATATATATATATATATATATCTCTTGTTAGGTATATTGTTTTGGAAAATGTTCAGATGAAGAGTTAGCTCCTTTAAAGTGCTCAGTGCTTCTTAACCACAATATTAATATTTTCTATTTTATTTTATGAAGCAATGTGTTGGTGTAAAAAAAACTTTTTAGATATTTTGCAAGCACACAAAAATTGCTTACATGCTGCGCTTCTTTCAGGAATGTATATTTTGAGTGGTCAGGTTTGCAAGCCAAAAAGTGTGATTTCCGAAATTCAGCAGATTGGAAAAAGGGGGTGATTTTGTTGCGATGCTCTTTTGCTGTGTATTTAATTAGCTTATTGTAAAATGACAGTTGATTAGACACAGAAATATTAACTCGAGAATACATAAGATAATTATGTGAAACATCAAATGTTATAAGATTAATTGATGCACAATTGTGAGTGCTGCGTTTGCACACACTGTATACTTATTGCTAACTCATGTATTGCACACTGTATTTTAATTAAATCACTCTGGCAGGAAAGTACACACAAGTACCTGTGCAAAGAAATACATTGCATTGTAAATAGAAACCATATCTCAATGTATTTAAATATCTGCGTAAAATAGAAACATGCTGGGTTCAAAATATTCAAATGCATAACAAATGGTTTACCTATTTACAAATAGGTATTTTCCCCACTTCTCGGTCAAATCTTCAGGATATGCTCTATGCCGTCGACTTGACTGACAGTGGAGTGCAGAAAAGACCTTTCACAGGCTTTCTTTCTGCTCTCCCAAGTATTGCAACAACTGTGGTTGCTATGAAAACTACCTAGCAGACACTGCTAGTGCTGGCCATGGAGTATAGGAATGGAGTGACTGACGTCCCTCTGCTCAGATGCTGGCAACGAAGCCAGCCTATATGTGTCACATAGGAGGTTTGTACTTCTTGGGGTAGTGTTCCCAAGCAGGGCAAATCAAATGACAACAGACTGGAGGTGGGTGTTGCACAAAGAGTAACATCCACAAGCTCTGAATATGGTGGCGCTGGAGCGGAGGTTAGTTGAGTACGTTTTAATATTTTACACATTGATTATATGCCGTAATATACAGGTGAGCTGTAAGCCATAATCATCGCACTTATGACGAATCACGGCTTGAACTATCTTGCTTTGCTTGTAATGCGTCTATCTCAAATATTAGTTTCCCCTTTTACGTTGCATTAAATGAACTTTTGCGCGATATTCACATTTTTCAAGTATCACCTGTATATCATCTTTGTGATATATGGCGTTTTAAATATATATGGGGCGATTTAAGGTAAGTTCACTTTCTTATGACATGTTCGGTTGAATTGTGTTTTGTGATTAATTTTTTTTTGTTTGTTTTTTTTTCACTCTCTCTTTTATTGACCTATTCATCTTCAACTGTTAGTGATTTCTTTCTGTTTAGTTTTTATAAGTAAACATTTTATTGATAGGTTTTTCTATACACCAAAATAAACATAGGAAATAAACAGATAAGTTCTTCATAAATGGTTTATTGATATGTGGTGAGTAATTAAGTTATCCTTGTCTTGGGATGCAACATGCAGTTAACCTGGTCTATATAGAGCCTTTAAAAGATGGAGAGTAAGCAACAGGGATTTAATCCATGTGCAATATTACACAGCTTTGTACAGCTAAGAAAATTATATTCATATTTTATACAGTGGCAGAACATGTATTAGTTGCCCAACCACCATTTTTCCTAATGAGTAGTATTTGTCTTTTTAAACATTTATTCTCTAAAATCAGCTCTTCAATGATCTTTACAAGAACAATGCCAATCGATCTGAGAATACAGAAAGAAAACACAATCAAAACTACTTTATGGAAGTGATGACTGTAGAGGGTGTTTATGATTATCTAATGTATATTGGTAAGTCACTGGAACTTTTCATTCACATACCATATGGAATCATCTCCTGTTCATTTTGATACATGATCTAAACATAAAATGCTGTCAATGTTAGTATTTGGGTTATAGAGGTAGGAATCTTTATCATTCTGTATCTTTATTCTTTCTAGCACCTTACTTAGTTAACGTACAGTATAAGGATGTCGACATTTTAAGCAGGTTTATTATCATTGTATATGAATGTTAAAGCTGTTCTGTTGTTTTTTCTTTTGATTTTCCATTCCTTGTGTCCCTTTTCTTACAGCACCAGTTTGGGCGTCGTAACTTATTTTCACTGAAGTTATGACACCCAAAGTATTCCATTATTGATTATATTTTCCCTCCTTGCCACTTGCCTTTATATTTATTTTTTCTTCCTTGTGCCAGATCTCCGTATTATAGTATAGCCTTTTTGTTCTCTTTTGCCTATGATGTCTATTTGCCCTTCTATAGGATTGATTTTCCTCATGGATTGTGGCTAAATTTGATTGTTCTGCTTACTGTCTTATTTTTTCAGCTTGACTGCCATACATAAGTGAAAAAAAGTCCTTACTTTTGCTTATGTACTTTATGAAGACTACAGTGCTCATGAAACATTTTTCAGACACAGGGAGCAATGTTACCAGATCCACTTTAACCCTTCATATGCACTGTTCATTTCAGGACGTGTTGTCTTCCACATCCCTGACTGGTTTCATCATTTGTTGATGGGTGGACGAATTCTTTTCAAAGAAACACTCGAGACATACACAGACTACTATCTACAACGTAAACTGGGCCAATTAATTCAGGAGCATCGTTTGGTTTCACTGATTACACTACTTAGAGGTTTGTAATCCTTTAATTTGTTGTAAACAACTGTACCTGGGTTTTGTTACAACCTGCAACACCATGTTGAATATACATTGCAGTATTTAGATGCAAATTACTGCTTACAAAATCCACCCTAACCAAAGTGAGGCTTATTAGTGATGTCACCAGCCATTATTGCTTAGAAACATTGTAGCGTTAACAATGCAAACATGTATTTCTAACGCTATAGTGTTTTACTTCCTCCCAAAATGTCATTCTTTGTAGGGATGAGATGTGTGTGTGCCAAATCAAATGTTTCTCATAGGTAAACATTGAATCGATTTATTTCCTATAGGCTGCATCTAATGTAAAACTCTGTCATTGAAGTGTAAGTGCTCTAATGGATGTCAGGAAGACAGCCACTATAGGTGTGTAACCCTTCAATTCAAAACATCGCCAAATCTACAAAATGGCAATGTTTAAGAATTAAGACCTAAAATTAAAGGACCACTGCACCTGGACGACTTCATTGCATGAAGAGATCTGGGTGCCTTTAGTTGTCATTTTTATAAATTCAGCTGAGTGAGAAAACCTCAGACACCGGTTAATCTGCAAACAATATTTTGTTAAAGATATATCCTTTTATATAAGCATATAAAATGTAAACTTTGCTAATCCAGTTCTTACCAGTACTAACAGTAGCCATCACAAAATATATTGAAAAATCCAATTCCAGCCAACTCCATTGTCCTTAGTCTCCAACACATCTGTGAATGACTGGAAGACTGAAAAACAAGATGGCTGCCACAGCTCATCACACACAATGTCTTGACATAGCTTTAGTGTCCACATAAGTTAATCAAATGAAAAGTTGGCAAGTTTACTTCTGTGCTATCATTTCGATTAACGGCCAAATCAGCTCTATAGCACTGCATCTGTTGCAGATTAGATTGAGTTGTTTTCTGTCAGCTGTAGTACACATAGTACTTGCTTAAACCCAACCAAGATCAACACAATGAGTTGGGTATTGAGTTTATTAAGAACACTAACATTAACTTTGAGTCATTTTGCAAAGACCCACAATGGTGACATTCAGTGGCGTACACACAATCCATGGGGCCCCGGTGCAAAACTGATCCGTGAGCCCACCTCCGCCTCTTCCCCTCCCCCGACAGACACACACACATTCATACATACAGACACATACATACACACAACACCCATACATACAGACAGGCACACATACAGAAAGACACACACACAAACACATACAGACCGACACAGGCACACACACATACATACAAACTGGCAGGCACACATACATACATAGATACAAACAGACAGGTGCACACAGACAAACACAGGCACATACACCTACAAAGACACATACATACACACAAACAGACAGGGACACATACATACAGACAGGCACATACACATACAAAGACACATACATACAAACAGACACACATACACACATTCAATGACAGACAGACACACATACACACAGACAGGCACATGCACACACACATACATACAAAGACACATACATACATACATATACACACACACAATGTTTAAGTCACCCTCCTGTTGCCTACCTTTTAGGTGCAGGAGGGTGACTTTCCCTGGGGTCCAGTGGTGGCTCAGGTTGATAGAAGTCAGAGTTCCCACTCTGACTCCCTCCTCCTTCCTCCCGTGCGGGGCTCGGTGTATGCTGGGAGGAGTGATGTGCAGTCACTTCCTCCCAGCGTGTGATGTAATCACAGGGGGCCCGGTTGCGCTGTTAAAGCCCCCAGAGATGACCGAGCCCCCTGACAATCCATCTCCATCGGGTGGCCCTGACCGCATTGGCCACCGGATGGACCCCTTGGACGGCGGCATTGGCGGTTTTTCCGCCGGGGCCGCAAAAGATGATGGCAGGTATACGCTGCTGGTGACATTACCACTTGAGGGTGGTGGCTAGGCAGACAGCAGAGGTGAATAATACTTGCTCTATGATGTCCCCACACAACACACGATTTTTAATTCCTAGTGCTTCATTACTTCGTAACTAGCAACAGCTATGGGAATGAGGTACTGTCTTACTCATCGGGAAGAGGTGATGAAACTGACCTTAGCCTCGCCTTTTGTCAAGTTAGTGATGTGAGATGTTGTCTTACATCTTTTTGTATTGAACTTTCAATGATTTCAATTTAAAAAGAAAATTAGCAACAGACACGTTAAATAACACGTTATAGTCATTAATGTGTCAGCTCACCTTCCAATGTCTAGGCAAACCATTTAGGTGAATACTATGCTTTTTAATTACACAATATAACATTGTTTTTAAATAAAAATTTATTTTGATTGAATTTGACATTTGGCTTTATAAAATGTCTGTCTTGAATACATTTTTCCTCTGTATTATACAGAAGGAGGCATGTACATTCGCTCTCGTAAAAAAGGAAGATTTCTTTTTATAATTTTTTTTTTAATTCCCTCTCATTGTCTAGATGCCGTATTCTGTGAAACTACAGAACCAAGATCTTTAAATGCTAAACAGAAACGAGCAAAGTTGACCTTTGAGGAAATGATGCGTTACATTCCAGGTATACTTTTCTCTATACAATGTTTTTACAGTCAGTAAATGTAATGTCTTGCGGGCAAGTCTGGCCTTGGCTGCATCCAGGTCCCTGGTTAGGAACATGTGTTACATTTAGAGAAATTCCATATTTAACAGTTTAAACTGAACATTAAGGCAACATTTTAGCAGGTTTTTCTTTTTAACTCTTTAATGTTTACTTTCTTAAATGATGTGTAACATTTTCCAGGAAGCAGCTAAAGTGTGGGGACACCAATTCTGAGCCCAGCTGACAAATGGGGGAGCCCTAGGTATCAAATGATGAAACAGTCCATGCTGATAAAATAAAGCATGACAGAATCATTCTGTCATGAGTCCTTAAGGGAATGACAACCCTGATGAAATGATAGCTGTCATTGGTCCTTAAGCATTAACTAGTGCTGAATAGGGCATTCTAAAGTGAAAAAGGGATAGAGTAACCCTTTGGGCTAAAGTTGTTTGGGTGCTTAGCGTCCCTTTAACCCCTTAAGGACCAAACTTCTTGAATTATAGGGAATCATGACATGTCACACATGTCATGTGTCCTTAAGGGGTTAAACTAATCTGAAATTTGATATGTTTATCAAATGTATTTCACAGGCTGTGCATTTCCAAGTGATTGTATATATTTATCCCATGACCTGAACCTTTCTGGACTTTCCTGTTGTTTTTTTTTTTTTTTTTTCTCTCTTCTAAAATTTCTAAATATATTTAACAGTACACAGGGAGACGCTGGTATGCTCATTCTTTTTTTTGTTGTAATTTTTTTTTTTAGTGCAATGTTACATTTGTTTTAATTTGCTCTATACAAGTTCTACTACTTGCTAAAATATTCTTGTTTCTCCCTGCTTAACAGACTTAATAGGGAAGTGTATAGGCGATGATGCAAAATATGAAGGTATTAGACTACTGTTCGATGGTCTTCAGCAGCCAGTACTGAACAAGCAGGTATATAGTGTCATTCAATATGTTCTACTGTTTCCTTTAAGTGTTGCCTTCTTCTCAGAGCTGTATTAACAACATCCTTGTTTTTTTTAATATAATAATTAAGACCTGAACTTTGAAACCCAATTATCTTACCATTTTATGATCTGTGACAGTATTGTTTTTAAGTGTACTTTTCACTTATGATGTGGCATATTGCTTTCTGCATTTGATCGATAACTGCAAATATGTTAAGTAGGAAACATTTTGTTCTGTAATATTGTACAGTAGAGTCTACACACCGATCTGTCTGTGCTGTGTACCACTTTTTGCATTTTTGAATACTGTTCTATGTATGTTATCCTTTTTATAAATATTTCGTAGCAAATTATTGCTGGTGCCAGCTTTGTATTTTTTTTAAGTATCATACTGCAAATATCCCCCTTTATTCCAAAAATTTACCAAGTAGCAGAATAGCCTAATACATTTCATAAACTTTTGAAGTTACACTGGTAGTGTACACTACCATGTGCCCTTTTTGAGTGTACATACGTCTGATTTAGATATTGGGGTACATGACACAATAGGTGTTCTCTCACCACCTTACAGTTAACATTACAGTGTTAGATGACTACAATTATTGCATTACATTTGGAAGTGCAAATATATGCAAACGTTAATGTTTGACTACAAAATCCTAAAATCTGACACGTGGCAGGCCCATGCCATTTTGCTCTAATACCTTCTCAGATGCATGTGAAACCTATACTTGAAGTGGTCTTAAAGTGACCACGTCGTCATTGCGATCCTAATCTTTTCTGGATCGCAGTGATGACGTGGACCTATCAGAACATAGATAAGCCTATTTAAGGCTTGTTTTAGCCCCCATTCATTGCCATATTGTGGTTTCTGTTAGATCCTCGTTTAGTACTCCTAGAGATTCCCTTGTGATTTCCTGTGTTTGTCCTCGGCTTCGTATTTGACCTGTGATTTATGGAATCCTGACCTCGGCTTCGTATTTGATTAGTGATTTCTGGTATCGTGACCTCGGCTTCAAATTTGACTTAAGATTTCTGGTATCCTGACCCCGGCTTTGTATATTACGTGTGATTTCTGGTATCCTGACCTCGCTTCGTATGTGACTCGTGATTTCTGGTATCCTGACCGTGGCTTTGTATTTGACTCGTAGTTTCTGGTATCCTGACCTCTGCTTCGTATGTGACTCGTGATTTCTGGTATCCTGACCGTGGCTTTGTATTTGACTCGTAGTTTCTGGTATCCTGACCTCTGCTTTGTATATGACTCGTGATTTCTGGTATCCTGACCTCTGCTTCGTATTTGACTCGTGGTTTCTGGTATCCTGACCTTGGCTTTGTATTTGACTTGTGATTTCTTGTATCCTGACCTCGGCTTTGTATTTGACTCGTGATTTCTGGTATCCTGACCTGGATTTGTCTTGACTCTGTTTCTTGTTGTATTAATACGTTAAGTCCGGCCATTCTAAGGCTCGGTAATACGTCTTTTGTATCCACCCTTTGTGGGTTTCCTCTTTCCTGCGTGTTGGGGTACAACTCCCATGACAGAGATTAATGAGAGTGATGAGGAGAAAAGGAGCGGGAAAGGCAGGAAGAGAGAAAGGTTGAAAGTGTAAGACAAAAGCAGATAGAGGATAGAGGGGTGTTTAATTGTGTGAAACAGCAAAACATTGAAATTATACACTTATTTGGGGGGAAGGGAAGGAGTTATAGTGCATATCAAGCTGACATGATCTGCTTAATATGACGGAAGTAAAATTCAACTTGCATGCCTTTTGGGTTTGCTGCTTCGACTGTCCCTATGAACAAACGTCTGCTGTATAGCCTTGTATATCTTCGTCCTTAATGAAATCCTTACTACACAATGAGCACAATACGTCAGAGAGATATTCAAGCTGCAGTTTGTTGCTAGCATGGACACTATTGACTGTATTTAAATAAATATCCAGTGATGTGATTTGCACTGTAGTACATTTGTTTATTTTTTGTCTTTCCTCTTTAGGAGAGAAATAGTTGGTGTACAATTGTTATATTTATATTACACCATTAACTTGAACAGGAACCAGTCAGAAATGCAGACTCTGACACACGCTGTGCTTTCCTCAATGATTGGAGTGTGAGAGTAGGGATTGGTTAATATTTTATTTTTAGCTGCTTTTCCTTAAAGAAAGACTGCTGGAGGAGGTTGAGAGCCTGTAGTTTTTCTGCATGAAAATATAAACCATTTTTAGAGGTCCTTTTTTTTTTTTTTTTTTTGTAATAAATATTTTGTGTAACATATAAAGACAAAATATATAAAGACATTATTAAATATTTCTCCATGTTTAAACAAGATTTTTATCTTGAGCTGGTAACATTTACTTTGTCATTTTCTTTCAGCTGTCCTATGTTCTTCTGGATATTGTCATGTTGGAAATTTTCCCAGAGCTCAGCAAGGTATGGCGATCAAATTATCATTATTATATTCATGCCCCAGACTGGAAGAGAAGACATTTTTAACATAAACATAGACATTTTAACTTTTCGTGGCTCCAACTAGCGATCCATAATAATTTTTTTTTCTTCTACAATTAATTATCTTTGACCAATATTACAGTGACCCGTATAAGCAATGATTATTCTGCTTTTACTGATTACTTTTTTTAAAACGAGAGAGAAAGTGTGTGTGCGCACGTGTGCGTGTGTACACACACACACACACATATATATATATATATATTAGTAACTATGATCACAACTTTCATCAATAACTTTAAGGGACAACCCAGGCAGGAGTTCTTCAGATAGAGCTTTCAAAAATCCAAATATTTTTTAAACACATATCTTTTGAAATTCCTGCATTTGCAACCAAGTATGGACTTCACACAAGGAATTTCCATTATTTTCTAAGGGAATGCAAAGCATATACCTCCGTCCTCAACCCTTGCAAGCCAAGCCAGGCCAGCCAGGGCTTATTGTTTATGTAGTTTTAATACCTTGTTTCTCTGTTTGATTTATGTCTTTGCATGAGTTGCATTGCTCCATAGATATAGAGTCCGCATTCATATTTTTACAATCTACATAGAGAGAGTCTTTCAAAGGAAGGCCATTTATGTTATTTTTCCAATCTTTGGGCACACACCAAAAGTACTTATACAATCACTAAAGAGCATGCCTTCCCCTGTGGTGTATAGGGGAATGAGCTCATAGCTTCAGTGATATGCAGTAGAGTTGTACAGTTGTGCAGTTGTACTCCACAGAAAGAAGAGGGCCCCAGAGAAAGAGGAGCTACCATAATCACAACACCTACAAAGAGCATGTGTTGTTATAGTACTTAGAGTCCATTTTAGCTTGTTGCATAGGAGGGATTGTCTGCCAGCCTCTTCACAGGTATTCTAGTGACTGATATAGTTTGCATTGCCATTGACATAAAATCTGTAAACTTCTGTGAAGATGCATGCCTCATATAAACTTGCTGTGTAACAACTTTTAAACATGATTACATCCGAAGTAGTCTAGTTATATAAACTATTTCCATTTGATAGTCAACTGGTATTGAGGCTTACATACTAACATTCATAGATACATCGAAGAGAGCAATGCACTGCGTTACGTCACTTGTCTTAACCTTAGTTTATGTGCATGTTGTAAAATATATATTTCATTACATATATGTAAACTGTAAGTTTTTGTATCTAAATCTATACTAAAACACATACTTTTATTTATTTTGACAGGTACAGCTTAGTATAGCTTTTCCTGAGATACACTGGTTTGCAGACTAGTTCATATTTGTTGCCTAGAAGTCAGTTATCGACTTTATTCAGTTATCTGTAAAGTCTATTAAACAATTATATATCTTAAATGAGCAACAAAAGTTCACGCTCTGCTTCAAATAAAGTTTAGAAGAACTAACATTTTAGTTTTATTTATTTAAACCAACTGAATGTTCCTTGTTTTCTTCTCCAAGTAAGCACATTTAAAGAGTTGACACAGGGGGGCGGGGCCGGGCCGGGCCGCCAGGCTGCATGGCAGCAGAACCTCATGTCTCCCAGGCTGAGCCCAGGAAAACGGCTAAAAAACAGCACACAGAATACAATAAAGCTGGATTCATCTACATACTGATGAAGAGGAACGCATAAGCTATCCGAAGATACCACACTGAACCCGGTGATGGGAACATTGAGTCTCCTAAACCGGGCCTACACGCCATAATGAGCCTGGCCCGCCTGCAGACTTACTCCAAAGGAGACGGAACACAGAGGACTAAACAAGGGAGACTGACTGAGGCACCTCGTACAGGCCCTGGCGGTGCCGGGTGCCGGACAGACCCCCCACGCTGAGCTCCTGACCACTAGTGGAGCGGGCATCTGAGCCTCTGGGTCTGTGGGGTCCCCGGAGAGCTTTTGTCCCTGATGCCGCGAGCCCGGTGGGGCAGGGCCAACACTGCCCTCCCGACGGACCGGTGGTCGGGGGGGATAGCCACCAGCTCCAAATATGTGGCCGGCACCGGGTGAGACAGCAGAGTGCGCGCTCGAAGTGGACTCACGTGTAGCTGGGGAGGTGCAGGGAGCAGACGACCCACGGATTTTGTGGTTGGGTCCAAAGGACGGTTCATGCTCCTGAGTGCCCACAGTGCCGCGGAGGGCCCAGCGGGCGGGGGCCGGCTGGGGGAGGACGAAAGGAGGCCTGGCGACCCAGGGACAGTATGATGGAGACGCAGTGAGAGACTCCTCACAGACGGCCATGCAGGCCGACATGATGATCCAGCAAGGCATAAGTTACCTCATCAAGATGTGCTTTCTTACCTCCATATATGAACACTGCATTAGCTCCCATATCACTAGGGAACTAATGGAACATGCAGGACTCTAGTTTAAAAATGTGTAAGCTAGGTCTAGGCTCATACCCTTTATTACTGCTTAACGATATACTGCTCCTTAGTCCATACATACTCAGCTCAGTTTAAAAACGAATATGTCAAAAGTCTGACAGTTTTTATTTTAGTTATTCATTTATTGTTAGTTTCAATTTATATACATTGGTTCCACAGCATGCCTACGGTGCAATTAATAAGTCACTATTATAATGCTAATAGATATGATTTACTATCGCCTGACTAGTGCAATACCTCTGCCATTTAAGCTTACCACACCGTACGATTAAGCAATTATTTGAGTTGGTGTGAAACATACATATAGTTTTTTTGTTTGTTTGTTTGGGGGGGGGTTTCTTTCTTCTTCTTCACATTTACAGTATATTTAGCAATGGTATACACCTGATTGTGGCATTATATACTAAATATTTACATAGGTGCACCCTGGCCTAAAACTGAATATGACCAAAGAAGGCAATACGTGGTGACTACATTAGATATCGTTAAGTTTATATCATTTGATATTATTGAATGTTATTTAAGGTTTCCGTTCAATTCGCGAGAAAACTTGATTACAAGTGGCTAAAAATTGGCTCACAAAGTGACCAGCAGCGCATGAACACAGCACTGAACTTAAATGCTTAGGTAGGGTCGACGACTGACAGCCTGTAAAAATCATACTGGACCTCTGCGTAGGCCCCAGCTTATTGCTTAATTACTTTTTAGCACAATGAACCTCTGCGCAGGCAACACTGCAGTAGCACACACCTGCTCCGCCGTAGGATATTCGATAAGAGGCTTATTAAAATAACACCCTAGGCCATAACATATGCCATACTGCCGCATACCGCCTCACTGAGACACAAGCAGCCACATGCCGCTCGTGCCCACAGTGAACATACATTAAGCACGGTTTAAAACAGTTAGCGCATACATCTGGCTTGAGAAGAGCCCGCTTAACACTCAGGGACCTGAACATAACTGCAACTTATTAAGAGATATACATTCCATCTTTACCGTGCATTTAAAAACAAATATACTCCTTATGTTGAAAGTTCGAAAGCTATTATTTTTAATGTTTTGTATATCTACTTCATAGCATACCTATTGTGCAAATAAGGAAACAGTGTCATAATGTCAACAAATATGATCTAGCATGGCAGCACAATGCCAGACAAATGCACCGCTTTAGCCACAAAAGTGATAAAGTTCACATGTTAATACAGAGTACAGCATATTTAACAGCATGTTTAATAATGTGGTAGTATGTATATCCTTTAACCAGAACTGCATCGATAACACAGGCCTACATCAGACTGTGCATTATGAGAGGATTGTTTTGTCTTGACAAACCATTAGCCAGTATAAATATCCAGCCACATGTGTTGCATAGTTCGGTGCAGAGTACATATAAGATAACCTTGAGTGGTGAGCACTAGATACCAAATGAAAAGTGTAACACATTATAAAGCTATAACATGATATGATAAACTTGTACACATAACTACTCATGTTTTTCCATAAAAAGTGCATTGTTTACGCTTTATCCCCTGCGTGGGAAAACTGCTTATTGTGTTGACCTCAATAAAAACAGATTTAATAAAGAGTTGACACAGGTAACCTAATGGAAATTGTAATCACAATCAAGAGCTTAGAAGCTGTAAGAGGCTTATGCCAACTGATAAATGAACAAGATGAGATTTTAAAATGCGTTACAATTAATTATTTTCAACTTTTCTATTCTTTTAATATAGTGGCATTTAGAATTCAACTTATCAAACACTTCCTGATTTTACACAAATGCAAGTGTCCATTGAACATTCAGACGTTTATTTTCCTTAAAAAATTCTCCTATTTACTAACACCTCAGTGTAATCATGAGAGATGATTGCTATTAAGATCCGTAATCTGCATTTCCTGCAAAATTCTCATTGATGACATGAATAAAACTGTCAGTAGGTCTGCTTGGGCATGTTCTGGCCTTTCTGGTTTTGTACATCCTTGTGAACCTACACTTTGCTGTAGTTCCAAACCCTTTTCATAAGGTGTTGTCAGCTGGAGAGAGCAATGTTAAAGTTCTTTCTGCCTGCAGGCAGGGAATGTCTATGTTCTGTAGCTCTTTACCCGAGTTGCCCCTTCTCTTTACAGAATACGTGCTCAATCTCTCTACTAATTATTGATGTACAAAGTTTGCTCCCATGCACTGTTTGCTCTTTTAGTATCAATTCAGGCGTACTTGTGTGCATTACCATGTTTTGGTGAGATCATGAAGTGCTTTCCTGTTTTTTTTTTATTGCTTTAATTAGTCACAGAAGGAGGTTTTGGCTGCACCATCCTGGGTTTGAGGAAAAAGAAGGGGGAGAGCGAACTCTGTGAAAACAAGCTTTATCAAGCCAGGACAGCAACGTCAACGAAAAATTTCCCCAACCTGAACTTTGCCAGAGTCTGTGACTTCTACTTTCCAGAAAATAAATTGTGATAGCACGCACACAATGTAAACTGTGCTGTCTTTTCTCTCGGTAGGAAAGGAATGCTGCATGATGCTGTGGCAACCTGCGCTTGCTAAGAGTGTAATATACTGTATTAATGAAGTGGAGAATTTTCTTTGTACATTACTTTGTAAATATTTCCAGTGTGTGTATCCTACTCAACTTCTGATAGAATAAAGTTACAGTGACAATTTAACACAGTACCGCTTGTAATTTTTATTTCTGTTTTGCAGTTTGTATTTGTGTGACAATACCAGTTCTCATTGCTAGGTTACCACCACTCTGCTTACTGAGGTCTGGACCATCTGCTGAGGTTTCTCAAACAAACAGAACAGTGTTTTGCAGCTCATCCAGAGGCACAGTGGAAAGATTGGGGTGTGGAATTTTTGCATACAATCTACTTGTCCAAGGGACTAAAGTGGCAGTTTACTTGTCCATCAATACAATCTACAAGTCCTTATTTAAAATCATTCCGGTTACAAAGAGTGGGGGGTAATGCCAAGATCCCTGGACACTGAGAGCCCTATTTGCTGAACTCTGAATTTTCACTTGTTTACTGCCTCAATTTAGTAAGCTTTCCAAATTGCTCAATACTGCTAGAAAAACTTTAATTATTTTATTTTTTTTATCTACAAAAATGTATACAGGCTTTGAAGCTGACTCCTGTAGATAAATCATGTGGAAGGTTTTTGTAACTGTATTCATTTGGAAAGCTAATCTCACAACATGGGTATTTTATCCTCTGTTTTGCCATTTGGATTTATTTAGCAAAATTCCAAAGTTTTGTGAATTACCCAATTTAAACCACTGCCACCCCTTAGTCCAGGGTTAGGAACTCCAGATGTTGTGGACTACATTTCCCTTAATGCTGGAAAACCATAGGTGGTAGAATGTAGTCGACAACATGTGGAGTGCCCAACGTGGTCTATCCCGCCTTAGTCTCTCCCTTTGTCATAGTGTGTTATGTATTTATTTGCAGTGTCTTATGTGTGTGTAAGTGTGGTGTATGCTGCCATGTGATTGTGATTATGTGATTGTGATACACTTTCTGATGCACATATTGCACAGACCCACGCCCAAACACTACATACTGATACACACAAACTACACATTCTCTGACACACACATACAGCAAAGATTACCTGTAGCTGCCTGGATGTTCATTAGCGGTGTGCAACTTGTCCCATGCTCTCTCTGAAATGACACCAGCGACCTTCACCCATTTACATTGGGAGGACACCCCTCTGGGGGATTAATGGACAGTTATGGGAAAAATCAGGGACTGTATGACAAATGAAACCAACCAAACTTGGAGTGCTTTGAGAGCCAAGGTAAAATTAAGTAATTTACTGTAAATAGCTACACAGTTTGTAGCAAAACAATCACAGACAGCTAATTTAACATAGACTTGTGTATAAACCCCTTTTAAGCACTAAGCATTACATGGTTTAAATTTTACTGCCAGCAATTCAATGTACTGTCAGAAAAGCCTGTTTCGATACAGTTTTCCAAAATACTGATTAGGGAGCAGCACACCTACATACAAATTTTAAGTCCATTACAAGGATATTGGGATACTGTGACATAGTGGTGGGCTTAACACGGTATGTGTTATTACAGCCATTGGTGGTTAAGACTAGATTCTATTTAAAGGAACTTACTACAGATTCTAGACCGGTTTGAGTGGTGTGGAGACTGCATTTAGGTTACTTGTGATGTGAGCAGTCTCTACACCATCATACAACTCCAACCTGGCAGTTTATGCACAAGTCTGAGGATTTTAAGAAAAGAAAGCGCAAGTAGATTTTATTATTGAAGGCATCTCCCTCATCTTGCATAACAATTTTTGTTGGTTTGAGGGAGATTTTTACTTACAGAAGCGAGGCACAGCTATTGGGACCAACTTTGCACCCAGTTATTCAGATGTATTTATGGCATACTGGGAAGTCATTTGTCTACTCTGGACATGACAGGAGTGCAAACTTGGTCCTTTATAAAACATATAGATGATATATTTTTGGTTTGGAAAGGTAGCCATGCCTCGTTAGACCTTTTTATAACTTTTCTAAACTCAAACTCCTGGGGCATAAAATTAACCACGAATATAAGTACCCAGGAGGTAAATTTTTTGGATTTAACAATTTTTATTGAGACTGGTATTACCAAAACAAGTACCTTTAAAAAAAAGTTAATAGTTACATAAATGTAAAAAAAAAAAAAGCTGCCACTTCTCCCCTTGGTTAACAAATATCCCCAAGGGTCAATTTACCAGGCTAAAGAGTAATTGTAAGTATGAAAGTAGATTTGTAGCATAATCAAGAAAAAAGAAGCAATGTTACCAGAAAGAAATATGGGAAAGAGGAAGTGGAAAAACAATTTTCAGAAATCTATGCAAGAAGAAAGAGAAGAACTATTAAAAATAGGTAAAAGCAAAATCTCGTAGCAGATGAGCAAATCCATTTTATTTCCAATTTTAATACACAAAGCCATGATCTTAAATTTTTTTTTTTTAAATAAACATTGGCACATTCTCAAACAGAATAAGGATCTAGATTAGGGATAAAATAATAACTAATGATAATATCTCCCTTTTACCAGAACAGATAGGGAATGCATTTAATGAGTACTATGCTAATCTATACAGTCTTCCAGTAACTACTCCATCAGAAATAATAAAAAAATATATCAAGTCAGCCAAATTGAATAAATTAACAGAATCACAGATAAATAATCTAAATAAAGAGATTAGGGAAGAAGAGATTAAGATAACAATTGATAGATTAGAAACCTATAAAACTCCAGGTCCAGATGGATTCGGAAATAGATTCTATAAAATTATGCAACCTCACTTGATACAACATTTAAAAAATACTTTTAATTCCGCAGTTAAAAAGGGCAGATTTCCTGAGGAAATGCTTAAAGCAAATATTTTACCCATATTGAAACCTGGGAAAGACCCTACTAGAGTACAGAGTTATCGCCCAATATCATTAATAAATGTGGATATCAAGATATTTTCTTCTATTATAGCTGGTAGAATAAAAGAAGTCATTAAGCAATTAATCCACCCTGATCAAATAGGTTTTGTACCAGACAGGATGTCAAGTAACAATATGAGACGTGTGATAAACGCGTTAGATTTCTCACAAAAGGAAAAAAGTCCCATGCTGATCCTGTCTTTAGATGCTGAAAAAGCCTTTGACAGGGTCAGCTGGGATTTTATGAAGTCTACTTTAGAGGAATTAGGTATACAAGGTTGGTTGCTCGATGCCATTTTTGCTTTATATAAAGATCTAAAGGCGAGAACTATTGGCCCTGGTATATGTTCAGATTGGTTCAAACTGAAAAACGGGACCAGACAAGGCTGCCCTTTATCCCCTTTATTGTTTATTTTAACACTAGAGGTTTTAGCTAACAGAATCAGAAATAATGAAAAGATTAAGGGTGTTACAGTAAAACAGAAAGAAATGAAAATATCCCTTTATGCCGATGATACTATCCTTTTTTTGAAATCATCAAGTTCAATAACAAATGCAATGTCAGAAATTGATATATATAGTGCAGCATCAAATTATAAATTAAATAAAACAAAATCAACTGCCATATATATGAATATGACAAAGCAAGAAATAGATTCTTATCAAGAAACATATGGTTTTATTAAAGCCAAAACGTTTTTGTATTTGGGAATCAAAATTTGCAGAAAGGTAGAAAGTATTATGAGAATAAATTTTATGGATCTCCTTAAAGAGACTAATAAGAATTTGAAAGAATGGAGAAAACTAGAAGTATCTTGGGGAGGAAGAATAAATATTCTGAAATCATATGTTCTACCAAAATGGATTTACTTGTTCAGAATGCTTCCGTTAGAAATTCCGAATGCATGGCTGACAATGATTAATAAGGCTTTTTCGGATTTTGTATGGCGAGGAAAAAAACCCAGAGTTAAAAATGGAGTTTTAGCAAGAGGAATAAAGAAGGGAGGTCTAGGATTTCCAAATATAAGAAAATATTATGAAGCAGGAATTATTACGCATGTTATGGCTAGTCAACTGATTCAAAACAAAGAGGAAGTATGGTGGTGGTTGGAATTAGATTATAGCCAACTAAGAAGTAAATTAGAAGTCGTCTGGAGTACCAAAAAACATAATCTGCCCAGATCCTATGTTTTAGGACAGATTATTCCTATTTGGCAAAAAATAAGGAAAAAAATAGGTTTGGTAAATAAGATATTTGGCTTTCAAAATTTAGAAATAATAGAACTAAATGTGGAGAGTATATCCCTAAAATTATGGAAAGAAAAAGGAATAAATACTTTGGAGGATCTATTTGAAGGAAATAAAATTAAATCTTATAAAAAGTTAGTTGAGGAATTTAATTTCCCTGACAAAGATATTTTTACTTATTATAGAGTAAAACATTACTTGGAGAAAGTTGAGGTAGTAAAAGAAGGTAAGATGTATGATATTTTAAAAACAATCTTACATCAGAATAAGACAAAGCAATTGTTTTCCAGATGTGTTAGATTGTTGGATTTAATGGATGATTCTGTCCTGCCTACTGCCATTAAAAAATGGAACACTGAATTAAAAATAAATATTGAATTATTTGATTGGCTATGTATGGCACAAAAAATTAACAAATATGTCCACTCCTTTGTATTGATAGAAACACATTTTAAGTTGGTTAATCAATGGTATATGACGCCAACAAAAATAGCTAAATTTGATGCATCAAGGGATATTAAATGTTGGAAATGTAGGGAGGAAAAGGGAAATTATATCCATATGTGGTGGTCATGTAAACAAGTGATTGTTATATGGCGGTGGGCTCAAATTATCATTCATACATTATGTGATGTTAAAATGCCTTTAAAACCTGAAGTAATGTTATTACATTATAAATGGCCAAAATTGAATAAAATAAATCAATTCTTAATTATTCATTGTCTAATGGCATGTAAAATAATAATAGCAAGAAATTGGAAGGGAGATATCCCCTTTAACATAAAATTAATAACAATTCAGTTGGTTTACCAACTAAAAATGGAGAAAGATCATTGCAAACTTTTGAGGGATGATTTGAGCCTATGGGAAAAATTGGAGAAAAAATTATTACAACTGTAAAAGGAATGTCATTTGAAAAAGTTGGAAAAAGTTTGAAGTCTGTAGAACTCCCGTGGGGTGGTGGAAAGTTTTTTTTGTTTTTTTTTGTTTTTTTTTTGTTTTTTTTGTTTTTTCTTTTCTTTATCTGTTTTTATGTGGATGAATGTATTTTA